CCAAGGCTGGAAGGCTGTCCCAGGACAGGGGTGGGACAGGGGAGGGCGGAGAGTCCATCCCTGGACGCACCTTTTCTGCCATCTATCGGCCATCCTTGGAGTTGCAGAGCTCAGCCCAGAAGGCTGGGCAACCCCAAGGGGAATGAAACTCCCTGGAGGTTCTGGCACCCCTGCAGTGGTTAGGGTGGGGAGAAGTGGCCTGGCTGATTAACTGGTAGCTAAACAGGTATAAAATTTCCCTCAAAGGGCTTTTTTTCAATGTCAGATTTGCTTTGGTTTTCTCATCTGTAAAATGGGAATAAGAATACCTACCCTCAGTGTTCTTTTGGTAGTTGATAATGGGATGGCACTTTCCTAGCGCCCTTTCTTTCAAGAGTCTCATCCCCACTTGACTGGCTGACCCAAGAAGTTCACGCAAGAAGCATGGATTGGAGATCAGGATGAAGGCATCTTAGAATCTGTTAAGGGTCTGGGTATGATGGCCCATGCCTGTAATACTAGCAATTTAGGAGGTTGAGGCAGGAGAGTCACTTGAGTCCAGGAGTTTAGGCCTGGGCAACATAGTAAGACTTCATCTTTACAGAAAATTTTTTTCCAAATTACCCAGATGTGGTGGTGGGTGCCTGTAGTCCCAGCTACTTGGGAGGCCGAGGTGGGAGGATCACCTGAGCCCAGGAGGTTGAGGCTGCAGTGAGCTGTGATGGTGCCACTGTACTTCAGCCTAGAGTGAGACCTGTCAACAAGAACAACAAAAAGAATCTGCTAAGGGATGAATTCAGCAATTTTTTTGGGTCTGGATTTTCTTTTCTTTTTTTTTTTGAGACAGAGTCTTGCTCTTTTGCCCAGGCTGGAGTGCAGTGGCACAATCTCAGCTCACTGCAACCTCCACCTCCTAGGTTCAAGCAATTCTCCTGCCTTAGCCTCCCAAGTAGCTTGGATTACAGGAGCCTGCCACAACGCCCAGCTAATTTTTGTATTTTTAGTAGAGACAGGGTTTCTCCATGTTGGCCAGGCTGGTCTCAAACTCCTTACCTCAGGTGATGCACCCACCTCTGCCTCCCAAAGTGCGGGGATTACAGGTGTGAGCCACTGTGCCTGGCCAAATGTCAGCTCTTTAGAGAGGTCTTGTATAACTCCCCAAGCTAAAGAATTCCCCTCCTTAAGCCAGGCATTGCTTTTACATTACCTTTTTCTCCCGATAGATGTGTCTCTTCCTGAAATTATCTTATGTACATCATTGCTTACTGATTTATTGCCAGACCCTGTAAGCTCTGGGAGGACAGAGGTTTGCCTGTCTCTGTCACTACTGCATCCCCAGGGCAGAGAATGGTGCTTGGCCTAATAGGGAATGAATTCATGGGCAGGTGATGATGTGAAGGCCCCTCCCTCAGCCCCCGGCTCATGGCCCTCCAGTAACCTCTCTTTGCCTCCTCCCCTTTCAGTGAGCATGGAGTTTGGACGGGCTGTGTGGCTCCGCTTCCACCCGTCGGCCTATCCCCCCTGCCCTCACCCAAGCTTCGTGGCGCACTTGGGTGGCGTGGCTGTGGGCATCACCCTGGGCGTGGTGGTCCTGAGGAACTATGAACAGAGGCTGCAGGACCAGTCACTGTGGTGGATTTTTGTGGCCATGTACACTGTCTTCGTACTGTTCGCCATATTCTGGAACATCTTTGCCTACACCCTGCTGGACCTGAAGCTGCCGCCTCCCCCCTGAGGGCTGGAGGCCCGAGGTGGGGGAGGGGAGGGAAAAGCAGCACCCACAGGGAGCGCCTGCGAGTTTTCTTCTCATCACCAGCTCAGCAAGGCCGGGCAGGCAAGGACAGAAGACTCTGGGCCACTGAGAGTCTTCTCAGTGTACACTGTATTGTTTGTGTTTAGATTTGGACAGTGGAGACCTTTTTCTGAAAGGCACTTGGTGGAGGAGGTGATGTGGCTACTGTCGTTTTTCTAGGCAGCTCTGATGATGTGGGGCCAGGGTGAAGGTCTGGGGTGGGGGGAGACTGGCCCTCCCTCCCCTGGGCTGGGCTTGTTCCACGGGGCCAGGGGTGTCCCTCAGTGCAGCAGCGTCTTCCTCATCCTCTACCCTCAGAGACCCTGAGAGATGTGGGAAGACCCAAGGGCTGTTGCAGCCAGGCATGGCCCCTCTCTAGCTCAGAGATAATTGCAGGCCATGTGGTGTCCCCTCCGCAGCTACTAGGTCTGGAACTCTGATAAAAAGAGGACCTACTGGACATGTCAGCTGTGACCTGGCTGAAACCAGGGTGCCCTCCTGGGCCAGTTGTTGGGCACTGGGGCATGGTCTGTTGTGCCAGGGCTGGGCAGAGCAAGGAGGCTGTAGGCTCCAGGCCTCCTCTTGCCCTGGGGGTACCCAGTGAGAGGGACCCAAGCAGGGAGAATAAACGTCATCCCAAGCTTCACCCTGGAGAAGATAGACCCAGGACCAGCTTTAGACTTCTCCCTCCCTTCCTTCCAGAATGTTGGCATCTCACACTGGTGCCCAGCCTCTGTGCGCAGCCGTGTTTTAGGGTCTTTTTCTTTCCTTTTGCTGCCCTGACCCTACTTTGTGCCTCTCTTTGGTTATGGAGACAGTGTTTTGATATGTGTGTGCGTGTGTGCGTGCATGCGTGTGTGTGTGCCGGGAAAGGCAATTGAGGCAAGTCAGCGCTGGCAGAGAAGGCACAGCAGATGCAGGGGGGCCATGTGGGCATCGTGCAAGGTGGGAGACCATGGTGTGCTGTGGTTGCTGACTGCCCTTGCCCAACAAAGCCTGTCCCCTTCTTTCCCATCTCCTGTCCCTTCCACACCTGCCCCTGAGCATCACTGACCGGCGGCAGAATGGCCCTGCTGGAGGGAGAGCTCAGCCCCTCTGGGATCCCCAGATGCTGAGGTTTGCCAGGTTCAGCTCTTGTTTCCCTCTGGGATGGCCTTTGTATCCAAAAGGTTTCCGTCCTGTCTTCTTTAGGAGAGAAAGAGCTTTGGGGGCTCAAGAGAGGCTGGGGTAGGACTGTTGAGGCCATGTGTCCATTTGAGTTGGGACAGGAGGCTATAGGAAGAGGAATTCTAATTTAGGTGGAAAACTTTGCCTCGGGAGAATTGCTGGGTGTGTGGATAAGCCTGAGCGGGAGGGCAGCCGGTAAGCTCAGAGACTTGGCTGCAGGAGAGAACATGGCGGTTATCACGTCCACCCCACCCCATTTCACAGGTGAGAAAACGAGATTGCAGGAATGACCCTCCTAACAGGAGCTGGTGCAGGCCCCAGATGGAGGGCATGAGGATGATCTTTGACAAAAAAATGATATTCCCTTTATTGGGCTCTTGGAATTCTCAACCACTGACGGCCCAAAAGAACAAAGAACACCAGGCCTGGGAGGAGACAGGGGTTGGGCACATCCAGAAACAGACAGGAGCATGGGGACTGTCTTCCTCCAGCCTCATGCCCAGCCCAGCCCTTGAGCATCGCGAGGTCCAGGGTTACTTGGGCCAGGCATTTGGGGTCTTGGGGAATGGTGGCTTCCCATCCTGGTGAGTACATGTAAAAGGGCTCACTCATGCACTGGCAGGCTAGGCCCAGCCTTTCCCCATCTTGGCCCAATGCTAACTAGCTTGCTCTGGCCTCATGTATAGCTTCCCTGGCCAGTGTGGTGCTGCGGGTAACAGTCTGAGGCACTATGGGGTCATGTCTTGGGTGGAATTCTGTCAGCCTGGGCTGTCTTGTGTGTGCCCTGCCTACTGTTCTCTGCCCTAGTGATAGAAAGGTGTAGATGGAAGAGTCAGCACCTCAGAGGAGGAGGCTGTGAGGCTGTGGAGCTGGGCTCAGGGAAAATCAGGGGAGGATGCAGAAGGAGCCAGGACGTTGCTGCCTCTGCCCTGGGCTGCAGCCATAGTAAGCCTAAGAGCCATGTGGTCCCTTCCTGAGGGTGAAGAATCCCCTCCAGATTCCTATCCTGGCCTCTGGGGCTTCTGGGGTGTGGGTAGAATGAGCAGAGTGCCACCTCTATCTGGTATGGCCTGGAGAGGGGGCTTCCTCAGGGGCAAGGAGGCAATGAACTAGAAGACTCTAGAAAGCCCTTAAAGAAGCACTGAGTTACCTCGGGCCTCCCAGGAAAGCTTATTACGAAGACAGTGGAGGCAGAATCGTGTCTCCCACCACGTTAAGTGTATCCTCTGCTACCAGGGACCCTCATCTACACCTTAGACCAGCAGCCCCAGCCATTCCCTGTCAGCGCACCCACCTCCACCACCTCTTCCAACCATGACTTCTAAGCAGAGCCACAGGCTGGAGTCATAGGGTCACTTCACCAGACCCAGGCCTCTCCCGAGGTCAGGAGGCAGCTGTCTGGTCAGAGGGGCTCACTTGGTGGCATCTGGCTTTCTCCTCAGCAGGTCCCACCACGCTCCCAGCAGCACTTCCCCTGGCCAAGGCTGGCCATGTCCTCCCTGCCTCCTTCCTTATCCCAGGTAGCTGCTGCCTGGAGGGTGGTGTATCTATCTTCAGGCTGGTGGAGGTAGGTCAGCCTTTTATCCACAGCATACAGAAATTGAAAGCTGGGGAATCCCCAAACAGCAGCCGTAGACTCACTGGCTCGCTCATTAAACGGGAGAGGAATCACAGAAACTGGGGGAGGGAAAACAAACCTTCAAAGGAGAAATTTCGCTTTAATGACATCATTCATCATTCATTTTTTAATTAGGAAGAGCTCCCTAATGAGGCTTGTTTGCCAGCTAATAGGACTCTCGATTTCGATGAGAACCATTCTTGCCCAGAGGATTAGGGGAGCCATTGCTTACCAAGCCGAGGTCTTCCCCCAGTGTCCCATTTAATTTGCAAATACGTAATGCAGATTCCCCGCGCGCCCTGAAAGCCGTTTCCTGGCATCACTCACGTTTCTTCCGGTGCTGGCTGGAAAGTACGGTTCTCCTCTGCCTTAAAAATGGTGCCCCACAGAACTGCCCCTCCGAGGACTTGAGTAAGTGGAAAAAACAAAACACAAACTGCAATGTTTGTTTCTAAGTATTTTTGTATTGTGTACATTCTGTATATTTTTGTTGTAACATATTATTTGAGCACAGATTCCATTAAAGATTTTTTTTCCAAGCCATTGGTTATTCATGAAGTGACCTGAAGGGCTAGTATTAGGGCCTGTTTCATCTGGGTCTGGGTCAGGATGGGTGGGAGAGGATGAACAGCAGCGTGGTGGATGTAGGATTTCTATAAAATATAGATCAGGGCATCAGTGCTTGGCACCAGTCTATAGCTCTGTGCATCTTACTTTTCTCAAATCACTGAACTATTTTGGGTGGTTGATAAATGCTATGATTTCTCTTCCCATAAAAATGCATATGTACTGACTGGGTGCAGTGGCTCACGCCTGTAATCTCAGCACTTTGGGATGCTGAGGAGGGCAGATCATGAGGTCAAGAGATCGAGACCATCCTGGCCATCATGGTGAAATCCCTGCCTCTACTAAAAATACAAAAATGAGCTGGGTGTGGTGGTGCATGCCTGTAGTCTTAGTTATTCAAAAGGCTGAGGCAGGAGAATCGATTGAACCCGGGAGGCAGAAGTTGCATTGAGCCGAGATCACCCCACTGTACTCCAGCCTGGTGACAGAGCAAGACTCTGTCTCAAAAAAAAAAAAAAAAAATGTGTATGTATGGGCCCAGTATGGTGGCTGTTACCTGTAATCCCAGCACTTTGGAAGGCCGGTGGATCACTTGAGGTCAGGAGTTCGAGACCAGCCTGGCCGACATGGCGAAACGCCATCTCCACTAAAGATAACAAAAAGTAGCCAGGTGGTAGTGGTGCATGCCTGCTGCCCAGGTACTCGGTAGGCTGAGGCAGGCTAATTGCTTGAGCCTGGGAGGCAGAGGTTGCAGTGAGCCGAGATCCTGCCACTGCACCCCAGTCTGCGTGACAGAATGAGATCCTGTCTCAAAAAATAAATAATAAAAATAAAAAATAATAATAAAGACAAGCTCCTTGGAGAGCCAGAAGCTGTTGAATTCTCTTTGCCTTTGCCTCCTCTCACTCCCTTTTTTACTTTCCTGGTTCTTCCCTTCTGTTAATACTAGATTCTCATTCTTCAATAAATTAATAAGGCACTTCCCAAAAATAAGGTAATTAAGAAATGAAGGGCCGGGTGCGGTTGTTCACACCTGTAATCCCAGCACTTTGGGAAGCCAAGGCGGGTGGATCACCTTAGGTCAGGAGTTCGAGACCAGCCTTGCCAACATGGAGAAACCCCATCTCTACTAAAAATACAAAATTAGCCAAGCATGGTGGTACATGCCTGTAGTCCCAGCTGCTCCGGAGGCTGAGGCAGGAGAATCACTTGAATCTGAGAGGTGGAGGTTGCAGTGAGCTGAAATCACGCCACTACACTCCAGCCTGGCAACAGAGTAAGACTCCTGTCTCAAAACAACAACAACAAAAAAAACACACTTAGGCACTTTGTTTTTACATATATATGTAATTTGTGTGTGTGTGAGATATAGTTTTGCTCATTGCCCAGGCTGGAGTGCAATGGCGTGATCTCGGTTTACCACCACCTCCTCCTCCTGGGTTCCAGCAACTCTCCTGCCTCAGCCTCCTGAGTAGCTGAGATTACAGGCATGTGCTACCACACCCAGCTAATTTTATATTTTTAATAGAGACGGGATTCTCCATGTTGGTCAAGCTGGTCTTGAGCTCCTGACCTCAGGTTATCAACCCTCCTCGATCCCCCAAAGTGCTGGGATTAAAGGCGTGAGCCACCACACCTGGCCTATTTCTTTATATTTGAGATAGGGTTTCACTCTGTTGCCCAGGTTGGAGTGCAGTAATATAATCATAGCTCAGTTACTTTGAGCTCCTGGGCTCAAGCGATCTTCCAGCCTGAGCCTCCTGAGTAACTGGGAAGACACATACCACCAGATCCTGCTAATTTTATTTTTTGTAGAGATAGGGTTTCACTGTGGTGCCCAGGCTGCTCTCGAACTCCTAGGCTGATGGAGATCTCCTGCCTTGGCCTCTCAAAGTGCTGGGATTACAGGCCTGAGCCACCACACCCAGCCACATTTAAGAACTTTAGCATTTAAGAGAACTGGGCTGCTCAGACCTCCAAGTGGAAAGACTTCAATGAAGCCAGCAGGGTTTCCATTAACTGAGAAGACACACAGAAAGAGTGGTCCTAGTAACAGCCTATTTCCAAGAAGCCCACAGGCTTTCCCGGCACCTAGTCAGAGGGATCCTCGGGTAGAGGACAGGCATTCTGTCATGGTGAATAATGAATGAGAGTGAAAGAAAGTGACTTGGGTTATTAAGTTCTACGGGTATAACTCTACTGGACAATGAATAAAACATTGTGAGGAAAATTGCTCTTAGATTCTGCTTGATGCCTCCTCCTGCAAGAAGCAGAAAGGTCTATCCTAGCAAGTGATTTGATTTTCTTTAATAAATGCCTTAGTATAACAAGTATAATTTCCTCACAAATTTGTTGGGAATACAAATGTTAGGCCTGAGGATTGAGGTCATTACATAAAAATAATTGTCTTGAAGGCCGGGCGCGGTGGCTCATGCCTATAATCCCAGCACTTTGGGAGGCCGAGGAGGGTGGATCACAAGGTTGAGAGATCGAGACCATCCTGGCCAACATGGTGAAACCCCGTCTCCACTAAAAATACAAAAAAATTAGCTGGGCGTGGTGGCGGGCGCCTGTAGTCCCAGCTACTTGGGAGGCTGAGGCAGCAGAATTGCTTGAACCCGGGAAGCGGAGGTTACCGTGAGCCGAGGTCACGCCACTGCACTCCAGCCTGGCTCCTGGTGATGGAGTGAGACTGTCTCAAAAAAAAAAAAAAATAATAATTGTCTTGATGAGAAGCTAAGTCTTATTATAATTACAAATTAATTACAGATGAACTGAAGCCATTTTTCATATATGACAAACATACATTTCCTCTGTGTGTATGGCTCACAAGTAATATACATAAATGTATTCCATGTCTGAACAAATCCTTTTTAAAACTTTAAAAGCCATGGCTAGGCAGTGGCTCACGCCTATTAATCCCAGCACCTTGGGAGGCCAAGGCAGTTGGATCACCTTAAGTCGAGAGTTTGAGACTAGCCTGACCAACATGAAAAAGCCCTGTCTCTTCTAAAAATACAAAAAATTAGTCAGGCATGGTGGCACATGCCTGTAATCCCAGTTACTCAGGAGGCCAAGGCAGGAGAATCGCTTGAACCCGGGAGGTGGAGTTTGTGGTGAACTGAGATCACACAATTGCACTCCAAAACTTCATCTCAAAAAGAAAAACAAGAAACTTTCAAAGCCAAAATAGCTTATTAAAATTTGTATACAGCACATGTTTTTCTAGTCATGAGCTCTGTGGTTTCTTCTCATGACCAAGATATTCAGTTCCATGACCCCATTTTCCTTGTCTTTAGTAGTGACACTTAAAAAAAAAATTGTCACACTTACTATTTTTTTTTGTTTTTAATAAGACTACCAGAGGCTGGGCACAGTGGCTCACTTTGGGAGGCTGAGGTGGGAAGACTGTTTGAGCCCAAGAGTTTAAGACCAGTCTGAGCAACATAGTGAGACCCTATTTCATTTTTAAAAATGTGGCCAAGTGCAGTGGCTCATGCCTGTAATCCCAGCACTTTGGAGATTGAGGTGGGTGGATCACGAGGTCAAGAGATTGAGAACATCCTGGCCAACATGGTGAAACCCTGTCTCTACTAAAAATACAAAAATTAGCTGGGCGTGGTGGCATGCACCTGTAGTCCCAGGTACTCTGGAGGCTGAGGCAGGAGAATCCCTTGAACCCAGGAGGCAGAGGTTGCAGTGAGCCAAGATGAAGCTACGGCACTCCACCCTGGGTGACAGAACTCTGTCTCAAAAAAAAGGTATATATATAAAATAAAACTATCATATAGAGCTGTGTCATGTAGTAAGCCTACATTACAAAAACATGTACAAACACACAGAGAATATATAAGTACATCTTGCATATGTCCATAAATGATTTGAAGCAGGTAACACTTTTGCTTTTAAATGACATTTACAACACAGACTCTTGAATGACATGAATTTGAAAATGAAGTATTTTTTCAGACTTAAAATGTTCATGTGTTAATGTTGCTTACTTAAAAAAATGATTTCCAAGTGGGCAACCAACTACATTGGGAAGAGTCAGATTCAATGACAGTGTCGTGAAATTGCTGGTTTTCCTTAGTCACTCTACTGTATTTATTTATTTTGAGATGGAGTCCCGCTCTGTCCCCCAGACTGGAGTGCAGTGGCACAATCTCAGCTCACTGCAGTCTGTTTTATGGGTTTGTGCTTCCCTGAGGGAGGTGAGAACACAAGACTTCTGTTCTTCAAGCTATTCTCCTGCCTCAGCTTCCCGAATAGCTGGGACTACAGGCACACGCCACTACACCCGGCTAATCTTTTTAACTTTAGTAGAGATGGGGTTTTACCATATTGGTCAGGCTGGTCTCAAACTCCTGACCTCAGGTGATCCACCTGCCTCAGCCTCCCAAAGGGCTGAGATTCAGTGTGCGCCACCGCACCCAGCCACCTTGACTTTAATACTATGAAAGCTACTTTTTGTAGCTGCCTACAATCCAAGTTATTAAAGTTTAAAACCATATGAAAGCATTTATGAAGATCCTGAATTGTATTTCTTATTAAAGGAAAAGAAATGCTTGGTGAGTCATGTCCCAAGGCTTATGTAGAGAAGGCAGAAGGCCACTGTCAGTCATTTTGAAAGTTAAAACTCAGCACTTAATGTGAATTTAGATCCATTTAAGAAAGGATTCCTCAGTTTTATGGGTTTGTGCTTCTCTGAGCATCCTAAGGGAAGTGGGAACACAAGGCTTCTGTTCTTCTATGCAAAAATCATTATCAAATGAATTTATTAAAGAGCTATGCCAAGCAATTGCAATCATATGTGTGTAGCTACATAGGCTTCCATGGGAATTGTAAATGGCTAGCTGAGGGCACTTTCAATTGATTCAGAGTACAACAATCTGAGGCTTGTAACAAATGTACAAAAAACTAAAATCAGGCCGGGCACAGTGGCTCACACATGTAATCCCAGTACTTTGGAGGCCAAGGCAGGTGGATCACGAGGTCCAGAGTTCAAGACCAGCCTGGCCAAGATGGTGAAACTCCATCTCTACTTAAAAACAAAAATAAAAATAGCCAGACATGGTAGTGGGTGCCTGTAATTCCAGCTACTCAGGAGGCCGAGGGAAAGAACTGCTTGAACTTGGGAGGTGGAGGTTGCAGTGAGCCGAGATCGCACCACTGTACTCCAACCTGGGCAACAGACCAAGGCTCTCTCTCAAAACAAAAAAACAAAACAAAACAAGACAAAAAACCCTAAAATCAATGAGTTTAACTCGAATATGAAGAACCCCTGTTTGCATTCCTTATGTCACAGTTTGCTTGTAAACTGTATGTACTTTCTTTTCTCAACACTGTTTTAAAACGCCAGCATTTTCACCCAAAAGAAAACATAGGCTCTTCATAAATGCCTGTGAACAAATGAAGAAAAGTGGTGACTGAGGGCGACTTCTGCAGTAGCTTTCTCTCAAAGATAATGTTTTATCCTAAAGCTAGTATATCTATTTTAAAGCTCATTTAATTTCTTACATACTCAGGATTTGCATATAGACCTAAATCTGACTTTATCATCCATGCCATTATCAACTAGACAAAAAAACACATCAAGCACCCACAGGATGAACAGACCTGTCTTTGAAATGGTGTAGTGGTATTAATCTGTTCTAAGACTAAGATTGCATTTTTTTTAAGAAGCTACAATCCATTGAGAAAGAAGTATTATGATTTTTCTAAGAAGAAAAGTTGCTAAATACTGCAGCAAACTCCTGAGAAAAGCCACAAACAAAATCATCTCTGAAATTTTTTAAGCAACAACTTCCTGAAGCCTGGAATTTACAAGTCCAGGGAGACACTAAAATTCCACAGCTCTCACACACATATCTATCTAAGACTCAGCAAAGATGCTCCTCAGATTTTTAAGTTAAATTGTTAAAATACGAAAAGAAAAACAATCTGGATTGAGTTTCAAATCATCTTAAGCAATCCTATGAACAATTATAACTGCAATGTCAAACACTAAGACTCAAATATATAAATTGATCATATAATTATCTCAAAACATAAGATCAAAAAATTTGGTCAAGAGCTTCTTTCATGAATTCTTCAAGGACAGCTACCACATTTTTGGCTTCAGGCATTTCTTCATGTTCTACTTTAACAATCTTCAAAAGTATATCTCCACTACCACAGTTCTTTAGGAACATGTAACATTTAAACAAAGCATAATGATTCATTTCTGCCTGTCGGATAAATCTCTTCAAATTGTTTGTGTCTTGTATGGCCTAGAAACAGATAAAATGATTACACGGTTAAAAATGTGTTAAGTGAAATACTAATGAAGCTCAAAAAAATACCTCCTGTCCAGTAAGAACTCAATGTACATTGCTGAATTGTTTGCTTTTCATATTAAATATTTCCAAAATTTAAATTATAGTATGCTTTGCCCTTGGTAGAAGAAAATCTCTCTTTTTTTTTTTGAGACAGAGTTTCTCACTTATTGCCCAGGCTGGAGTGCAATGGTGCAATCTCAGCTCACTGCAACCTCCATTTCCCGGGTTCAAGTGATTCTCCTGCTTCAGCCTCTCAAATAGCTGGGACTACAGGTGTGCGCCACCACACCCCGCTAATTTCATATTTTCAGTAGAGATGAGGTTTAACCATGTTGGTCAGGCAGGTCTCTAACTCCTGACCTCAAGTGATCCATCCGCCTTGGCTTCCCAAAGTGCTGGGATTACAGGCCTGAGCCACCGGGCCTGGCTGAAAATCTCTTATACAAAGTAAAAATACTTTAAAAATCTCCTGCCCAGCATGGTGGCTCACATCTGTAATCCCAACACTTTGGGAGCCCCAGGCAAAAGGACTTCTTATGGGCTGGTAGTTTGAGACTAGCCTGGTCAGTGTAGCAAGACCCCATCTCTACAAAAAATAAAAATAAAAATAATTAGCCAAGTGTTGTGGTGCATACCTGTAGTTCCAGCTACTCAGGAAGATGGCCAGAACCCAGGAGGTTAAGGCTACAATGGGCCATGATTGCACCACTGCACTCTAGCCTGAGTGACAGAGTAAGATTCTGTCTCTTAAAACAAACAAATGGGCCAGGCACAGTGGCTCATGCCTATAATCCCAGCACTTTGGGAGGCAGAGGCGGGCGGATCACCAGAGGACAGGAGTTCGAGACCAGTCTAGTCAACATGGTTAAACTCCATTCTACTGAAAATATAAAAATTAGCTGAGCATGGTGGCCCACGCCTGTAATCCCAGGTACTGGGGGGACTGAGGCAGGAGAATCACTAGAACCCGGGAGGTGGGGGTTGTTGCAGTGAGCCAAGATCACGCCATCGCACTCCAGCCTGGGTGACAGAGGGAACTCTGTCTCATAAATAAATAAATAATAAAATAAAGTAAAATTTACCTTGAAAAAAGAATAGGTTATAAAAAAAAAAACAAGAAAAAAAAAACAACTCCTAAATAAGGTGATATCAGAAATTCTGTCCCCATCAGAATTTTTTTTTTAGAGTCTCACTCTGTCACCCAGGCTGGAGTGCAGTGGCACAATCTGGCCTCATTGCAATCTCTGTCTCCTGGGTTAAAGCAATTTTTGTGCCCCAGCCTCCCAACACAGCTGGGATTACAGGCATGCACCATCATGCCCAGCTAATTTTTCTAATTTTAGTAGAGACTGGTTTCACCATGTTGGCCAGGCTGGTCTTGAACTCCTGGCCTCAAGCAATCCACCTGCCATGGTCTCCCAAAGTGCTGGGATTACAGGTGCGAGCCACTGCGCCTAGCCCCCACCAGAATTTTGAAAATTTAAGCACTGAATCACTTTTTTTGTGCTTTGCAACTAAGATAAGTCACAAATTGTAAGACTGACGATCCTTAAATAAATTGGGTTGAAAGCAAGCATTCAACCCAATTTATTAGAAATGATATGTACACAGAAGCTACCAAAAAATTAAAATAAGTAAATGCCTTCTGATAATTCCAGTGTTGAGAACATCCTAATTAACAGACATCACAGCTATAAAGCAGATTTGTTACTCTGTAACTGGTACTAATTAAAATGCAGACAAAAATTTCATGTGGCAATTGGCACACAGCCAACTAATTACCTTTAATTTAAAGTTCTCCAGTACTTGTCGGAAAAGAAAAGGGTTACCTCCTTCAGCACCATGTAAAAAAGCTTGCATCCAATCCTCACAAAACCGGTTACTTCCTATAAAATATTTCAGAGAGACTAAATAAAATGAAATTTTACAAAGCATGATTCACATATTTCTTTATAAAAATATCTATAATTAATTATTTAAGACTTGTATAATGGCCTAAAAAACAGTATGCTCACCACATGGCTAAGGGATACCAAAATGGTTGAAGCCCCCTATATGCCCCTTTCCCAATCACATCCCCCTTCCTTTCCCATCATTCCGACAGACGTTTTTAAACTTCTGCCATATACCTTTGCATCTGTAAGCCATATCTGCATTATTCTGCATATGTTAAAACTTTTATGTACTTTTTCTTTTATGGCTATTTCACTAAACAGTATGTTTGAGAGCTACACTGACACATACATGTAGCTCTAGTTCATTCATTTTCACTGCTCTGTTATGTTAGATTGCATGAATATAGTAGTTTATCAGTTTTCTTGATAAACACTTAAATTGCTTCCAATTCCTTGCTTTTTCAAATAAAGCCTTTATGGACATTTTAAAATTTGTCTCTTTGGCCAGGCACAGTGGCTCACACCTATAATCCCAGCACTTTGGGAGCCTTAGGCTGGCGGATCATGAGGTCAAGAGATTGAGACCATCCTGGTCAACATGGTGAAACCCTGTCTCCACTAAAAATACAAAAAATTAGCTGGGCATGGTGGTGCGCGCCTGTAGTCCCAGCGACTCAGGGGGCTGAGGCAGGAGGATTGCTTGAACCCAGGAGGCGGAGGTTGCGGTGAGCCGGGATCGCGCCATTGCACTCCAGCCTGGGTAACAAGCAAAACTCCCATCTTGGAAAAAAAAAAAAATTCATCTCCTTGTGTACACATAAAAGAATTTCTTTATGTACCTAGGCGTGGAATTGCTAGGCATGGCATGATTTCCATGTTTCTAGAATTATATTGTTTTCAGCAAGTGGTTTCTCATGGTTTAAGATAACGATGTAAAACTGCACAAGGCAGGAAGAAGGTATCACATGCTCTCACTGCAAAGATGGCGACTCACAAGAGATCTAGGAAGACTTCTTCAGAGGTTGCAGCTCACCTGCATTGTGGAACTGAGGCTGGGAGCCACTGCAATCGATGACCACAGACTTATGCTGCTCCTCTGTCATGGCCATGCACAAAGAAGTCATGGTGCCTTCATGAATAAGTCCTTGAAGACTGGCCACACTTAGAAACCTGCCACACACACAAGCCAGTTTTCACAAACAATATTGCAGGACAGAAGGGTGAAAACAAATTTATTTTGCACTGGGCTGGTGGGGAAGGGATACGGGGCCGGCTTACAAACAGATGTCATTCTTGCTGTGGAAAAGCTTTTCTCTGTGAAAAAACTGTATTCTTTACCTGTTAATGTCTCTCTTTGTTTTTTCATCTGATTCTTTAACTTCAACAGGAGTATAACTCAAAGCCTATGAGAGAAAAATAAAGCCTGATCAATACATATATTCCAGTTTTTCTTGAGCAGCTACTCATGACTAAATGTCCCCAGAAGTCCTCACCATACTTGACAATTGATGGGCACTAGTCATAAGCTCTCCAGTCTTGTTCAGCCACTGCTCATTAACATTTTTGTAGAAAAATAATTGCTTTGGACTTTTGTTTTCCTTTTCAAATTGTTTTGAAAACTATACCTTTCCCAGATCACTTTAAAAAGGAATTATTTTTAAATGTTTTATCCTATTAGGAAGACTCAGTCAGCATTTGTAATTCAACTCTACCTTAGTAATATAATTTTCTAGATCTCAGAAAATAAAGTGTCGTCTATCTGGAAAGCAAGCATAGTTTAAGTGAAAATTTTGGGAAGATGTGCAGAGTCATGTTCAGAGAAAATGAGTATTTTTCTAAATGAGCTAAAGTAATCTCAGTTAATGAAATGCTCTGATTTGGGTAGTACTTACAGCATGTAGCAGAAAGGTAAGCTTTTCCTGAAACAGAAGAACCACCCTTTGGATTGGGCATACAACATCCTCAAACCAGCTGCTCAGATAGGACTTTATAGGATTCTCCAGGCCCCTTTCCTAAATCAAGAAAGAATGTCATTTGCTTTAATATAAGCCTTACTTTTAGTGGACTTAATATTTTTTTCATCATATCCTTGGTGGTGAAAAAGACCAGGATAGGCACTTCCTTTTTTAAAGCTAAAACCACCAATTCAAAAAAAAAAATTGCAATATACTTCTCCTGGCTTGTTGGGTAGGGTGAGGACTAATTCTGTACTGAATGTATAAAATGAAGAGACTGAATTAATAGGGTTCTATGTTATTTCTTCACCGGGAAGAGCTGGGCATTTACGTGTCCCTCTCCTCCCACTATACCATGCACTCAATGGAGATACTCATTGAATAATCTTCATTTCCCTGGCACCTGTGGTACAGTGTCTAAAACATGCCTACTATGAGCTTATTAAATATCTATTGACTGACTAAACAAATGTAGGTAGAGAATTCATTCGTATTCAGAATGTGAATAGGGAAGGATACAAGTAACTCATCAAAGCACTCCAGCCCACTCCAGATGTCAGACAGGCTGCCATAAGCACATCTGGCTTTCTAGGCTATGCTGCTCTCTGGAGACTAGTGTCACACAAGAAGAGCTCTAGTCTCGGAGAACAGCTCCCCTAGACTTGCATCCCTTGCTCACTCCTGTACTATCCTTTCCTCTCTCCTGTAGTATCTTCTAAGTATGTGAAAAGTAAAACTACTACTATATAGGTAATGGGTAGTAAATTTGTCAGAGTCATGACTAACAACTGCTGCAAGCTGAAAGCATTGTTTTTGTTTGCTTTTTTGAGACAGGGTCTTGCTGTGTCATCCAGGCTGGAGTTCAGTGGTGCAATCACAGCTCACTGCAGTCTCAATTTTCCAGGATCAAACGATCCTCCCACCTCAGCCTCCCAAGTAGTTGGGACTACAGGTGGGTGCCACCATCCCTGGCTAATTTTTGCATTTTTTGTAGAGATGGGGTTTCACCTTGTTGCCCAGGCTGGTCTTGAACTCCCGGGCTCAAGTGATCTGCCTCCTTCAGCCTCCCAAAGTGCTGAGATTGCAGGTGTGAGCCACTACACACAGCCAATTTTTAAAAGGTTTGAATAAATTAGTTAATATGGATATGCCTAATTTATAAAAGATCAATTAATGAAAATAGAGTGTTTCTAAGAATCTTCGATGTTGAGCTCAAGCCTGTAATCCCAGCACTTTGGGAGTCCGAGGCGGGTGGATCACGAGGTCAGGAGATCGAGACCATCCAGGTCAACATGATGAAACCCCGTCTCTACTAAATATACAAAATATTAGCTGGGCATAGTGGCACGTGCCTGTAATCGCAGCTACTCGGGAGGCTGAGGCAGGAGAATTGCCTGAACCCAGGAGGCGGAGGTTGCGGTGAGCCGAGATCGCGCCATTGCACTCCAGCCTGGGTAACAAGAGTGAAACTCCGTCTCAAAAAAAAAAAACAATCATACTATGGCATAGCACGTCTTTGGTGCCACAGGCTGCATGGACCACTACTTCTGACCATAATATAAATCATATGCATAGAAATCCGGCAAAGGACATCCTCTTCCTCACCAGGCATGTTACTAAGTGCCATTGAATAGATAGAATTTTCCACAGATACAAAACATCAGAAGTAGTCTTATGAAACTTTCAACACTTATGGGACTATGTTCCCTATATCTCTTTAAAATCACCTGTAGGCTGGGCACAGTGGCTCACACCTGTAATCCCAGCACTTTGAGAGGCTGAGGTAGGTGGATTACTTGAGCTCAGGAGTTCAAGACAAGCCTGGGCAATATGGCAAAACCCCATCTCTACCAAAAATACAAAAATTAGGAGGGCATGGTGGTGCATGCCTGTGGTACCAGCTACTTAGGAGGCTGAGGTGGGAGGATCACTGAAGCCCAGAAAAGCTGCAGTTGAGCCATGATCACGCCACTGCACTCCAGCCTGGATGACAGAGTGAGACCCTGTCTCAAAAATAAAAGAAGAAAGAAAAAAAGAAACCACCTGTAAGCCGGGCACAATGGCTCACACCTGTAATCCCAGCACTTTGGGTAGCTGAGGCAGGAGGATTGCTTGAGGCCAGGAATCCTAGATCAGCCTGGGCAACAAAATGAGACCCCATCTTGATAAAAAATACCAAAAGTTAGCCAGGTGTGGTGGTATGTGCTGAGGTGACAAGCTTGGGAGGCTGAGGTGACAAGATCGCTTGAGCCCAAGAGGCTGAGGCTGCAGTGAGCCTGATCACACCGCTGCCCTCCAGCCTGGGCAACAAAGCAAGACCTTGTCATTTAAAAAAAAAAAGTCACCTCTCTACTAGCTCACAAGTTTCTAGAATATAGATGTCTTTGTGTCTACCTGTATGATTTGACAAGTATAGCAATCACAATATGTTAATCATTTCAGTCTTTAAAAACCACTGTCACCTTACCTCACAGTTCATGTTATTTTTCAGGCCTTGAATGTACTTGTCCAATTCAAGCCTGAAAGTATGTTCTTAAGGAAGCAATAAAGGATGAATAATGAAGATAGTATTTTGTCTCTCAATGAGAGATATAAAAGCTCTCAAATAATGTAAGCTGCAAATGAAAACAAGCAAAATGGCCACATGAAGGCATGAAATTCAATTAAACACACGAGTAGAAGAGCTTTCTGGAGGTTGGGAGTAATATTCTTCCACCTGCCTTCCTGTGTTTTCCTTCCTGATGTCCTCAAAAACCAAAGAAAGGATATAGCTCAAGTCCTTTGTCAGAACCTCCTAAAAAACAGATCACATATTCTGAAGGGTTATGTCCAGAGACCATTGCTACTGTTTCAGGAAGCAGTGTTTCATTTTGGAAAAGGCAGTAATAACAACCAACTCGGTAACCTGGAATTCTAGAACAGAAAGAAAAAGGTAAAATGTATTATTTTGGTTACTTATGTATCTATAATTTTGTAGACTGCTCTGAATTCCAGTCATCTTGATCTGGCAACATCATTAAACTGCCCACTAATTCAGAGCTTCCCAGACTTCTCATTGGTTTACTTGTAGCAGCAAAGAAAAATAAATGTATACCCCGGTGGGCTTTAGTTAAAGCAGCCCCTAACATACATGGAATTTCTTTGAATTATCCTGTCTTATGTGAAAAAGTCACACAAATTTCACTCTAGTTCATACCTATGTTTATATCAATAAAAGCATGTTCTCCCCTCTCCCAAACCTTCACAAATTAATGCTTCAGGCAGATGTGCCAGGTGGCCTCATCCTTGGGACGTGGCCTCATACTCCTGAGGGGACCTGTATGCTAACTTCATAGTCTGAATTGAACTATAATAAAGAGGTGTAATGGAAAGACAGTTGGAATTGGACTGAGAATGCTCATGTTTAAGCCTGAATTCCATCAATTTGACCAGAAAATTTATGTAAACTTCTCTGAGTTTATTTCCTCATCTGAAAATGGAAATAAGAATATCTGCTATATTTCCCCTTTGTAAGGAGAACTGCATCAAAGTTTGTGAAAACACTTTATAAATTGTATACACTTTCAGTTTTAATAATCAACTCCTGCACTCGCTTCGGCAGCACATATACTAAAATTGGAACGATACAGAGAAGATTAGCATGGTTCCTGTGCAAGGATGAGACGCAAATTCATGAAGCATTCCATATTTAAAAAAAAAAAAAAGCCGGGCACGGTGGCTCACGCCTATAATCCCAGCTTTTTGGAGGCCGAGGCAGGTGGATCACGAGGTGAAGAGATCGAGACCATCCTGGTCAACAAGGTGAAACCCCGCCTCTACTAAAAATACAAAAATTAGCTGGGCATGGTGGTGTGCGCCTGTAGTCCCAGCTACTCAGGAGGCTGAGGCAGGAGAACTGCTTGAACCCAGAAGGCGGAGGTTGCGGTGAGCCGAGATCGTGCCATTGCATTCCAGTCTGTGTAACAACAGCGAAACTCCGTCTCAAAAAAAAAAAAAAAAAAATCAACTCTTCTTCTTCTAAGTACAAAACTTATTAGCCTGGGCAATATGGTGAGACCCCAATTGTACAAACAAACAAAAATTTTAAAAATTAGCTGGGCATGCTATTAGTTGCCTGCAGTTCCAGCTACTTGGGAGGCTGAGTTGAAAGGACTGCTTAAGCCCAGGAGGTCAAGGCTGCAGTGAGCTGTAATCACGCCACTGTACTCTAGCCTGGGCAACAAAGCAAGACCCTGTCTCAAAAAAATAAAACTAATTAAATAAGGTACGTTTGGGTGCCAGGGTCTCTGCCATTCAATTAATTTCATTCCACAAATGTTTATGTGTGAGGCCCAGTGCTTGGGCTGCCAGAGAACAAAGAAATTCTGCAGGTCTAGTAGGAGCTGGTCTTTTGGAGTTTCTATCACTTCTCATATTTAGTTCAGAAATAAAAACTCAGGACACAGCACATTTTGCACTTACCTCAGCTCCACAGATGCAACATTACCCAGCCCTTCAAAGACTGCACCTTTTGAAAGACGCTTAGCAATGAAACTGCGCAGCTCTGGCTCCACTTCGGATGGTAGATTACTATCCACCAAGGAGAGGCTTGACAAATGAAAGACACACATTCTTTACCAGTGGACCAGTGTATTCACACCCATTAAGTCAGACAGAATGGTACCAACACCAGGGGCTCCTTTAAGGACTGGGGAAAGCTGTCCTTATGACCCCTATTGGTGAGGTTTCTAGGAATGTATATCACTAAGTATGATCTACTTCATCAAATAGCTTAAAATATTCCTATCTTTCCAGCCCATTCTCTCCAGTATTGTGACTCCACTGGAACCCCCAATCCACTGACTCTACCTCTCTTTCAGCCTCTCAAGTTTCTCATCTCACTTCCCTCCTTATTCAGCCTTAATTCCATGATCAGTCATTATCATCACACCCCTGCACACATTCTTTTTTTATCTTTCTTTGAACTTCATTGAGGTATAATTGATTATTTAAGAACTTCAAGGCGGCCGGGCGTGGTGGCTCACACCTGTAATCCAAGCACTTTGGGAGGCCGAGGTCAAGAGATCAAGACCATCCTGGTCAACATGGTGAAACCCCGTCTCTACTAAAAATAAAAAAAAATAGCAGGGCATGGTGGCCCGTGCCTGTAATCCCAGCTACTCAGGAGGCTGAGGCAGGAGAATTGCCTGAACCCAGGAGGCGGAGGTTGCGGTGAGCCAAGATCGCACCATTGCACTCCAGCCTGGGTAACAAGAGCGAAACTCTGTCTCAAAAAAAAAAAAAACAAAAAACTTCAAGGCTGGGCAAGGTGGCTCATGCCTGTAATCCCAACACTTTGGGAGGCAGAGGTGGGCGGATCACTTGGGTCCTGGAGTTCAAGACCAGCCTGGGCAACATGGCAAAACCCCATCTCTACCAGAAATACAAAAATAGCCAAGCATGGAGGTCAGTAGTCCCAGCTACTGGGGAGGCTGAGGTGAGAGGATCACCTGAGGCCAGGGAGGTTGACGCTACAGCGAGCCAAGATCATGCCACTGCACTCCAGCCTGGGTGACAGAGCAAGACCCTGTCTCGATTTAAAAAAAAAAAAAAGAATTTATTTCTGGCTGATCACCAAGCACATTATCAGTATGTGAATTTGTTTGCCCCAGCCTTGAATGAACCAGGCAAGGAGGAAATCAGGATGAGGTTCCTAAGGGATAGGAGGAATTGATGGTTTGACTCAGGGAAGGCTCAGTGGAAATGGAGTACCCACTGACTGACATGTACAGGCCAGAGATGCAGGGAAGATAAAAGCACATGCATGAATTATGGTGAAGCTCTTTTTACCTGAAATCATCACCAGAGGGAGTTTCTGCATTTGTGCCACTTGGGCTTCCGTCATCACTGTCCCCTCGTTGCTGTGCCAATCTGCAAGCCACAAAAGCAATAGTGCTATCAATTATGGGCTCTAAACCAAGAGGAGTATGGCGACCTTGCAAGCAGGATGAGGCAAGGTGTCAACTAAAAATGCTGCAAGGCGGAAGTGCACTGCCTACCCTCATGACAACGAAAACCCTCTCCAGTCCACCTAAAGAGTGGAGGAAAGGCTGCCTAAAAGATCCAAGGAAACTCCTTTAAAAAACAAACTTGACAGGGCCAAGAAGGCCCCAGGAAAGTCAGTCAGGAGCAGGGAAAAGAGGAAGCAGGGGTGTGTGTGAGGGAAATGGGAGAAAGTGGGGAGATAGTGACAGAAAGGACAGGGGACGGGAACTGAAATTATTGAGCGTGCAGGGCATTGCGCTAAACAAAGGGCAGCCGCGAGAGTAAGGGGCTGGGATGATACGGGGCAGATGAAGGGCAGAGGCATGGTTGGGCCAGGCATACAAGTCCAGGATGGGGGCGGGAGGAGCCGCGTTAGGTGGGGAGGGCCCTTCAGACCAGAGACCTTGGTTGGGAGAGGAGAAGTTGGCTTTTAGGAGCGGCCGGGCCGCTGGGCCGGGGGTGGGGTGCAAGGCCGGGCGGCGGGCCGGGGGCGGGGCCGCAGGGGCAGGCGGACGGGCCGGCCGAGCCGGGCGCCGGCACCTGCTTCCGTGGTAGCTGTAGAGACAGTAGTGGCTACTGGACGGCGGCTCGAGTCTCCGCTCCTCGGCTGAGCCTCCCTCTTCGCTGCTCTCTAGCTCCTTTTCATCCCCATCCAGCGATTCCTGCAAGGAGGGGAGCATTGCGGCGACCTCGGAGCGGCCCTGTGTCTCCGCCAAACCGCTCCCCGGTGCCGTGCAGCCGTTGGTATCTGGGCTCGTCCGGCTCCCGGCCCTCGCACACCTGCGTTCCGCTGGTTTCCCCGGGTTCTCAGGCCCGGAAAGGGAGGCTCTTCTCCCCGCTGAGTTCGCCTTCACTGAAAAGCTTTCACCATTTCCTTTTAACTTATTTTCGTTTGAGACGTCTGGGAAACTTACCGTGTGATAAAAGTGGCACGACTACCTAGCCACAGGGAAAAGAATAAGGCTACTCGTTTGTCTCCTTGCGAGGGTGCCAGCATGTACACACACACACGTTTGATCAAAAAGTTAAGAATTTACAATAAATTTTTAAGTGAAAATATGGGATAATTTTGTTAATTCTTGAAGTTAAGAAGGTCTTTCTAAACATAACAAAACACTTAGAAGCCAAACAGGAAAACATTTTAAAACTCTGACTACATAAAAACTAAAAGGCCAGGCACGATGGCTCACGCCTGTAATCCCTGTGCTTTGGGAGACCGAGGCAGGTGGATCACTTGAGGTCAGGTGTTTGATACCAGCCTGGACAACATAGTGAAACTCCGTCTCTACCAAAACTACAAAAAAAGTAGCCAGGAGTGGTGGTTTACACCTATAGTCCCAGCTACCCTTGCAGTCTCTACCCCATTACCAGTTCTAACACTAATTCACATTTTCAGGTGTTTCTGCAACACCCCATTCTCCGGTGCCAGTTTTCAGACTCAGTCCATTTATTTCATCCTTTATAAAAGGATACCAAAGACTGGGCAATTTATAATCACCTCTTAAAGGTCCCACTTCTTCTTTTTTTTTTTTTTTTTTTTAAGACAGGGTTTCACCATGTTGGTCAGGCTGGTCTTGAACTCCGGACCTCAGGTGATCCGCCCGCCTTAGCCTCCAAAGTGCTTGGATTACAGGCGTGAGCCACCATGTCCGGCCAAAGGTCCCACTTCTTAACAGTGTTACAATGGCAATTAAATTTCAACATGAATTTGGGAGGGACAAACACTGGAACCATAGCACCATGTGAAGGAGGAGGCAGACTGGAGTGATGTGTCTACAAACCAAGGAATGTCAAGGTTTGATGGCCATCACCAGAAGCTAGGAGAGGACCTGGAACAGATTCTCCCCTAGAGGCTTCAAGAGGTATGTCCCACCAGCACCTCCATGTCAATTTCTAACCTCCAGAACTGTGAAATACATTTCCACTGTTTTAAGCTACTGTGTGTGTGTGTTGTGTATATTTTTATTTTTATAGAGACAGGATATCACTTTGTTGCCTAGGCTGGTCTTGAACTCCTGGGCTCAACTGATCCTTCTCCCTCATCCTCCCAAAGTGCTGGGATTACAGGTGAGCCACTGGGCCCAGCTGGTATGTGTTATAGCAGCCATAAGAAACTAATACAGGGCCCAGCGCAGTGGCTCAAACCTGTAATCCCAGCACTCTAGGAGCCCAGGGCAGGCGGATCATCTGAGGTCAGGAACTCGAGACCAGCCTGACCAACATGGAGAAACCTCAACTCCACTAAAAATACAAAACTGGTGATGCATGCCTATAATCTCAGCTACTCGGGAGACTGAGTCAGAAGAATCACTTGAACTTGGGAGGCGGAGGTGGCAGTGAGCCAGGTGAGCCGAGATCACGCCATTGCACTGAAGCCTGGGCAACAAGAGTGAAACTCCATCTCAAAAAAAAAAAAGAAAGAAAGAAACGAATACGGATTCCCCCCAACAACCCTTTCTTCTATTTCAATCTGGATTTCTTTACATTCTTCCCTGTTAATCCCATATTTTTTCTAGATTATGGTTTATTCTCTTGATTTGCTCAGGTACTGCCTCCAATATTATCCAAGAAAGTGTATATATAGGGCCGGGCACAGTGGCTCATACCTGTAATCCCAGCACTTTGGGAGGCCAAGGTGGGTGGATCACCTGAGGTCAGGAGTTCAAGACGAGCCTGACCAACAAGGTGAAACTCCATCTCTACTAAATATATAAAAATTAGCCAGGCATGGTGGCAGGTGCCCATAGTTGCAGCTACTCAGGAGGCTGAGACAGAATTGCTTTAACCGGAGACAGGAGAATTGCTTGAACCTCTGGAGGTGGAGGTTCCAGTGAGCCGAGATCACGCTACTGCACTCCAGCCTGGGTGACAGGGCAAGACTCGTTCTCCCTCACCCCAAAAAAAGGGGGTATATATAAAATAATTTTTAAGCTCTTGCATGTCTAAAAATGCATTCTAACATTTTTATTGTGTTTTTCACATTTGATTGGATATTTTTGTTTCATTTTGTTTTGTTTTGAGACAATTTTGCTCTTGCTGTCCAGGCTGGAGTGCAATCACATGATCTTGGTTTACTGCAACCTCTGCCTCCCGGGTTCAAGCAATTTTTCTTCCTCAGCCTCCCAAGTATCTGGGATTACAGGCATGTGCCACCACACCCAGCTACTTTTGTATTTTTAGTAGAGACGGGGTTTCACCCTGTTGGCCAGTCTGGTCTGGAACTCCTGACCTCGTGATCCACCTGCCTTAGCCTCCCAGAGTGCTGGGATTACAGGTGTGAGCCACTGCACCCGGCCTAATATTCTATCTCTAAGGAATATTCAACCAAGGCCAGCCTAGGCAATAAGAGTAAAAACTCAGTCTCAAAAAAAAAAAAAAAAAAAGAAAAAGAAATAGAATTTTAGGGGCCAAGGGCGGTGGCACATGCCTGTAATCCCAGCACTTTGGGAGGCCTAGGCAGGCGGATCACAAGGTCAGGAGTTCAAGACCAGCCTGGCCAACATGGTGAAACCCCGTCTCTACAAAAAATACAAAAATTCGCCAGGCATAGTGGTTCATGCCTGTAATACCAGCTACTCAGGAGGCTGAGGCACAGGTTGCAGTGAGCCAAGATCATACCACTGATCCCCAGCCTGGGCAACAGAGTGAGACTCCGTCTCTCAAAAAAAAAAAAGAAATTGAATTTTAGGTTGAAATGATTGGACATTGAATTCAAGGTTGAAAAGAATTCCCCCAAGATTCTGAAGGGTTTTCCTCTGCCTAGAACACTCTTTTTTAAAAAAAGATTAACTTTAATTTTTTTTTTTTTTTTTTTTTTGAGACGGAGTTTCACTGTTGTTACCCAGACTGGAGTGCAATGGCACGATCTCGGCTCACTGCAACTTCCGCCTTCTGGGTTCAAGCAATTCTCCTGCCTCAGCCTCCCGAGTAGCTGGGACTACAGGCGTGCACCACCATGCCCAGCTAATTTTTGTATTTTTAGTAGAGACGAGGTTTCTCCATGTTGGTCAGGCTGGTCTTGAACTCCCAACCTCCGGTGATTCACCCACTTTGGCCTTCCAAAGTGCTGGGATTACAGGAGTGAGCCACCGTGCCCGGCTTTTAAATTCTTTTTTTAGCCACAGAATCTCATTCTGTCACCCAGGCTGGAGGGCAGTGGCATGATCGCAGCTCACTGCAACCTCTAACTCCTGGGCTCAAGCAATCTTCCCTCATCAGGATCTGGAGTAGTTGGCACTACAGGCATGCACCACTAAGTATGATTTATTCCTGTTGATAGTGACCTTGCTCACCTGGCTGAGGTAGTATTTGCTAGATTTCTTTACTGTAGTTACTTTCCTCTCCCTTTCCATACTGTTCTCTTTGGAAAGAATTCACTATTCTGTTGATAGTGTGTATAACCACAGTTAAGGAGTAGGATTTGTGCACCCTACCCCCAAAAGTATTTACATAAATGATGTGGACTTCTGTAAGGGACATTTGTCTCTTCTCCTCCTTTTATTTATTTAATCAATTATTTTTTTATCAGGGTTACACTGATTATATTGGGTTATACCAGGCTATCACTTATTTTATTGCTCAAATTGTCCCAGCCTTGACCATTAAGAGCTCTTTCAGTTGGCTTCTGGGTCCCTCTGGTATACACTCATCAATGTAGGTGTTTGTTTTTTGAGCACTTCCTCTTTCTGACACTACACCATTCTCTAGGCTCCTTTTGTGTATTTTCTGCCCCAGTCCTAGAATCAGCCATTTCTCCAAGGAGCCCAGGTTGATTTTACTGGAGAATGGTATTACAAACCAAGATCTGGGTGCAAAGCATGCTTGGTATGGGGTATTATTGCTTCTAGGCCCTCTCAGCTTATAAGACAATTAAATTTATGTATTTATACTAACAAGTATATAGACATATCCATAATATTTAACTATGTATCTATTTAAAAATAAGCACGAGTTCATACTGGTGTCTCCAACTCTAATCCATGGCCAGATGGATCATTCTAGCCTCCTCCCCTTGCTTATCTATAAACCCACTAGAACAGTGAGAGGCTCACGCCTGTAATCTCAACATTTTGAGAACCAAGGCAGGAAGATCACTTGAGCCCAGGAGTTCAAGACCAGCCTGGGCAACAAAGTGAGACCTCATCTCTACCAAAAAAAAAAAAAATTTAGCAGGCATGGTGGCATGGCCCTGTAGTCCCTGCTACTGGGCGGGCTGAGGTGGGAGGATCCATTGCTCCCAGGAGATTGAGGCTGCAGTGTGCTACGATTGCACCACTGGATTCTACTAGCCTGGGCCACAGAAATCCAGCTAATTTTTAATTTTTTCATAGAGACAGGATATTGCTTTGTTGCCCAGGCTGGCCTTAAACTTCTGGCTTCAAGTGATACTCCTACCTCAGCCTCCCAAAGTGCTGGGATTACAGGAATGAGCCACAGCATTCGGACGAAGTAGCTATTTTTTTTTAGACTGAGTCTCGCTCTGGTGGCCAGGCTGGAGTGCAGTGGTGCAATCTCGGCTCACTGCAACCTCTGCATCCTGGGTTCAAGCGATTCTCCTGCCTCAGCCTCCCGAGTAGCTGGGATTACATGTGCTTGCTACCACGCCCCCGCTAAATTTTTGTATTTGTAGTAGAGATGGGGTTTCACCATGTTAGCCAGGATGGTCTTGATCCTCTGACCTCCTGATCCGCCTGCCTCGGCCTCCCAAAGTGTTGGGATTATAGGTATGAGCAACCGCGGCTGGCTAGTTTTTATATTTTAGTAGAGACGGGGTTTCACCATGTTGGCCAGGATGGCCTCGATCTCTTGACCTCGTGATCTGCCCGACTCCGACTACAGTGCTGGGATTCCAGGCGTGAGCTCCCGCGCCCGGCTATCAGCTCCAATCTTACTATAACTAGTTTTTTCAGGTGCCCAGCCTCAAAGACAAACTCTTTGCTCCCTTACTGAGACACGCTTTCTTTCACCTTGCTTGCTCCCGTTGACTCTTTAAGAAACATTCTTGGGTGGGGCGCAGTGGCTCATGCCTGCAATTCCAACACTTTGGGAGGCAGACGCGGGCGGATGACTTGAACCCAGAGTTCGAGATCAGTCTGGCCAACACGGTGAAACCCTATCTCTACTAAAAATACAAAAATCAGCCGAGCTTGGTGGCGCGCGACTGTAATTCCAGCTACTCGGGAGGCTGAGGCAGGAGACTTGCTTGAATCCGGGAAGCGGAGGTAGCAGTGAGCGGCGCTGAACCAGGGAGGCGCAGACTGCTGTGGGCCGAGATCGCGCCGCAGCACTCCAGCCTCGGCGATAGAGTGAGACTTCGTCTCTGAAAACAAAAACAAAACCTTTCTTGACAACCCAGTGACCATTGCCCCTAAAGCCGCCTTAGGCTCCCGCTCTCCGGTCCTGCAGCACTTCGCATTTCCCCTAGCGCAGCACTAAGGACTCTGCGTTGTGTACTAGTCTGTCACCAATCTCCGAGTTACAAGGCAGAGACTAACTTCTTAGGTTTAGCACGTAATAGGCACATAATCAACATTTACTGTTTAATTGAAACAAAATAAAACTGGGTGCTGTCTCAATCTTCATTTGTAATCGGCCCTAATTGCACTGGCAATGTTTCCCGCTTTTTCGTTTTCCATTCGCATGCGTACCTAGCTCTCCGGCTCCTTTACAAAACAAACCGAAGAACACAAGCACAGCCAGCGAGAGCGAAAAACTCTCAAACGGACAAGATGGCGGCCTCCTCTCGCGCCTCTTAGTCCCACCCACTCAGGGAGGAGGTCTGCGTCATGTGACCTTCCCCTTCCTGGGTCCGCCTTCCGTCGCAGTGCCTGACGGGAGGCGGAGCGGCGAACGAGGCCGTCGGCCATTTTGTGTCGGCCTCCTGTGGGACGCGGTGGTAGCCGTTGGGTTAGGAAAGTGAGCGATTTTTCGCCTCGTTTCTCCTGCTTCTTTTTTTCTCCCTTTTACTTTATCGGTAGAGCGCAGTTATGGGTCGCAAGAAAAAGAAGCAGCTGAAGCCGTGGTGCTGGTATCCTTTGTTAGTTTGAAGTGGAAGTCGCTCTGGGGTGCTGGTTGGTGGGGCCTGGGACTGGGAGGCCTGGGTTTGGCCTATGCTGTGGAGGGTTTGTATCTAGGCCTCGGCGCGGGTGGCCTGGTGGCTGGGATTGGACTTGGGAAGGCTTCTAGGAAAATGGAGTTCCGAGGTCTAAAGGGTTTTTGCAGTTGTGGGTCGTGTGACTGTGACTCAGGAGCATCTTGTTTGGTGCGAATTTAGGACTCAATGGGAGGCGGCCTGGACCCCTCCGCCAAGGACAGTGACCCCTAGGGACATTCAGTCACACACTGTTTTGGTGACGATTCAACAAAGGGACTTTTTCTTCGAGTGCGAAAGGCTTAATTAGGGAGGGTTGGAGAAGAGCTTCCCAGTCTGTCACCCACTTTTTCTGTTTTTATTTATTTTATGTGTATTTTTTTTGTGTTTTTATTTTCGAATTGGCGGTTTAGTAAAGGCTCAAGTTAGTTCACCCTTTTTTTCTTTTCGGGGCTAGGGAGGACTAGCTTCCGTCTCTCACCCAGAGGCGCCTTAATCTTCAGGAAACGTTCTCACAGGGTGGAGTTTCTGTTACCCAACTTTGTAGGACTAAAAAATACCTCTTATTAGAAAGGAAAACTCTTACTAAAGTGTGACGTTATTTAATGCCATTTCCGGAGTCGTTGATATTATTTACGTTACAATTAATTTTGTCCAGTTGCGCTGGCCCACCCCGTAATCCCAACACTTTGCAAGGCCGAGGCGGACGGATCACTAGGTCAAGAGATCGAGACCATTCTGGCCAGCATAGTGAAACCCCGTCTCTACTGAAAATACAAAAATTGGCTGGGCGTGGTGGTGCGAGCCTGTAGTCCCAGCCACTTGGGAGGCTGAGGCAGGAGAATCGCTTGAACCAGAGAGGGAGGCTGCAGTGAGCTGAGATTGTGCCGCTGCATTCCAGACTGGGCGACAGATCAAGACTCTGTCCCCCGTCCCCCCCCCAAAAAAGGATTTTATTTACTGTCTTGTATGTAAAGGCGGCCTTTTACTGTTCTGCGTTTATTTTTTATTTTCGTTTTTAGTTTTTGAGACAGTCTTGCTCCGGCGCCAGGCTGGAGTGCAGTGGTGCCATCTCGGCTCACTCCAACCTCCACCTCACGGATTCAATCAGTTCTCCTGCCTCAGCCTCCCGAGTAGCTGGGACTACAGGTGTGCGCCATCACGCCCAGCTAATTTTTGTATTTTAGAGACGGGGTTTCACCATGTTGGCAAGGATGGTCTCGATCTGACCTCGTGATCTGCCCACCTCGGCCTCCCAAAGTGCTGGGATTACAGGTGTGAGCCACCGCGCCCTGCCAGTTCTGCGTTTATGTAACAGTTTAAAAAATAGCTTAAATATGGTTACGAATTTTGTAATGTGATTTTAGGAAAATCTGAGTTGTGAGGTAAGAATTCTGTTTTATTGATTTAGGGTATCTGAATTTAAATACAGTCCTTGGCGACATAAATTTATACGGAATTGGAAACAACTTTATGGATTGTTCTTTCGAAATTATGTGATTATTGTTAATCATGTAGTTAATCTTAGATTCTAAATATTGCCTAATTCCTATTCTGGTTATTGTTATCGTTTACATAGCTAGTGAAGTAATTGTTCTGATAGAAACTTGGAGATTTATTAACTCTTTCTTGTCCTCAGTGTACATTTGTAAATGTTGAAATATTTATAACAAAAGTTAATTTCACAGAGATCTCTGTTAAACAGGAATTTGATAAAGTATATTGCTGATTACTGAGATGTGTTTATTGTGGTAGTGAAGAGAGATGGGCTTCCAGGAAATAGAAAATACTGAAATTGCATGCCAAGTGTTGTCCCTAATTGTGTAATAAATATCAAAAGCAAAGTTTCTAAACAGTACCATTTTGGTTTTAGCTGTTCCCATATTGTAATGTTACTCATATGTTTTTATTATAGGCAGTATCATCATTATGCCATTTTTGTGCCTTAACAGTACTGATTAGGTATTGTAATAGAGATTTTGATGATGAGAAGATCCTTATACAACACCAAAAAGCAAAGCATTTTAAATGCCATATATGTCACAAGAAATTGTATACAGGACCTGGCTTAGCTATTCATTGCATGCAGGTAAGGATTTATTGTCCTCTTGTGATTTGGAAACAACTTGAAAGAATAATCTATTTTTCTGACAAATATAATATATATATATATATATATTTTTGAGACCGAGTTTCACTCTGTCACCCAGGCTGGAGTGCAGTGGCACAATCTGGGCTTACTGCAACCTCTGTCTCCCAGCATCAAGCAGTTATCCTCCTTAGCCTCCCTAGTAGTGGGAACCCACCACCATGCCTGGCTAGATTCCCCCCCCTCAAACTCCTGAGACAGAATTTATCTCTTATTGCCCAGACTGGAGTGCAATGGCATGATCTTGGCTTACCGCAACCTCCACCTCCCAGGTTCAAGCGATTCTCCTGCCTTGGCCTCCAGGATTACAGGCATGTGACACCATGCCTGGTTGATTCTGTATTTTTTTAGTAGAGATGAAGTTTTTTAGTGTTGGTCAGGCTGGTCTTGAACTCTCGACCTCAGATGAACCACCCACCTCCGCCGCCCAAAGTGCTGGGATTACAGGCATGAGCCACCTTGCCTGGCCTAATTTCTGTATTTTTAGGAAAGACCGGGTTTCTCCATGTTGGCCAGGTTGGTCTTGAACTCCTGACCTCAGGTGATCCACCACCTTGGCCTCCCAAAGCGCTGGGATTACAGGTATAAGCCACCGCACCTGGCCAATGACTAATTTTTTTGTTGTTCATTTACCTACTTTAAAAGATAAGGTAGCCAGTCAGCCTTAAAATCATTTGTTCAATAGCCATCAAGAAGATAAACAAAACTGGCTTTTTATGTTTAAAGAGACTTTATATTTGTATTTAGCCTGATAGTACTTTTCTAGGTTAGAGTGGTAACAGATTGGGATCACAAATATTTTGGAGTACTTGGCAGAGAACAGGGATCAGCAATTTTGTTTTTGTTTGTTGTCTGGCCATAAGAATTAATACTTAATCTGCTGTCATTACTCACTGCCATTGGAGGATTTGTTACTATCCATAGCTTGGGGCTGAGTTTATTTCAACGGTTTATTTATTGGACTTATTTTGGAATGGTAGTAGTGTATTTTTTGCCCGTCCCCCCTTTTTTTTGAGACAGTGTCTTACTCTGTTGCCAGGCTGGAGTGCAGTGGCTCGATTGAAGCTCACTGCAACCTCCCGACTCCCTGGTTCAAGAAATTCTCCTGCCTCAGCCTCCCGAGTAGCTGGGATTACAGGCATGTGCCATCACACCCAGCTAATTTTTATATTTTTAGTAGAGAGAGGGTTTCACTGTGTTGGCCAGGATGGTCTCCATCTCTTGACCTGGTGATCTGCCCGCCTTGGCCTCCCAAAGTGCTGGGATTACAGGCATGAGCCACCATACCCAGCCTTTTGCTTTTATTTTTAAGAGATGGCCTTGATCTGTGGCCCAGGCTCGTTTACAGTGACATAATTATGGCTCACTGTGGCCTCAAACTCCTGGGCTCTAGCCATCTTCCTGCCTCATTCTCCCAAAGCCCTGAGATTACAGGCATGAGCCACTGTGCCAGCCCAGCATTGTATTTCATTTAATAATTTCTAGGTTTTTTTGAGTTCTTTTACCAGTAAATAGTGAGAGCATTGTAATTTATATTTTTAAGATCTAGTAAGTACCTTCATGTATTACTCAACATTATTCTACTTTTGTTAGTCTGAGAGCTGTCTATAGTTTTGCTTAATTAGACCATGGAGAAATATGAGTTGAACAAATACCCAATCATTGGAAACTACTGTTGGTGGGAGGTAGGGAGACATGGTTTCTCCAGGTTTAAAGTTAAATTTGTATAGATCCTTTTCACTCCAGATACTTTAACAACAATTTAAAATCATTTAAAAATACTGACCAGATGCGGTGGCTCACACCTGTAATCCCAGCATTTTGGGAGGGATTACAGGGGGATCATCTGAGGTCAGGAGTTAGAGACCAGCCTGGCCAACATGGTGAAACCATGTCTCTACCAAAAATACAAAAACTATCTGGGCGTAGTGGTGGACACCTGTAGTCCCGGATACTCGGGGAGCTGAACAGGAGAATTGCTTGAAAACTCGGGAGGCAGAGGTTGCAGTGAGCCGAGATTGTGCCACTGCACTCCAGCCTGGGTGACAGAGTGAGACTCCTTTTAAAAAAAGGTTAGAGAACCTGCTACATGCTAGACCCACAGCTGTTCACCGTTGTAGCCACTTGTTACATGTGGCTATTTAAAATTAAAATCATACAAAAATTACTCAGTTTCTCTGTCAGCTACGTTTCCAGTGCTCTGTAACAACATGTGGCTGGGTGGATAATTATTATATTGGATAATACAGATGAGAATATTTTCTTAGGGCCAGGCGCGGTGGCTCACACCTGTAATGCTAGCCTTTGGGAGGCTGAGGCGGGTGGATCACAAGGTCAAGAGATCGAGACCATCCTGGCCAACATGGTGAAACCCTGTCTCTCCTAAAAATACAAAAAATTAGCTGGGCATGGTGGCGTGTGCCTGTAATCCCAGCTACAAAAGAGGCTGGGGCAGGAGAATTGCCTGATCCCAGGAGGCGGAGGTTGCAGTGAGCCGAGATTGCGCCATTGCACTCCAGCCGTGGGTAACAAGAGCTAAACTCTGTCTCAAAAAAAAGAATATTTTCTTTTGATTGATTGACAGGGTCTCACTCTGTTGCCCAGGCTGGAGTACAGATCATAGCTCACTGTGACTTTGAACTCCCTTACTCAAATGATCTCCTACCTCAGCCTCCTGAGTACCTGGGAACACAGGTGTGTGCCACCATACCTGGCTTTTAAAATAATTTTATTTTTATAGAGACAGGGTCTCACTATGTAGCCCAGGTTGGTCTCCCAACTCCTGGGATCAAGCGATTCTCCGACCTCAGCCTCCCAAAATTCTGGGATTATAGTTGTGAGCCACTGTGCCCAGCCATTTTCTGTGTTTTTTGGGGGGGGTGTTGCGGGGAGAGACAAGGTCTTGCTCTGTTGCCAGAATGGAATACTGTGGTGCGATCTCAGCTCACTACAACCTCTGCCTCCTGGGTTTAAGCAGTTCTCCTGCCTCAGCCTCCCGAGTAGCTGGGACTATAGGCGTGTGCCACCATGCCCAGCTATTTTGTTTGTTTGTTTGTTTGTATTTTTAGTAGAGATGGGGTTTTACCATGTTGGCCAGGATGGTCTTGATCTCCTGACCTTGTGATCTGCCAGCCTGGGATCCCAAAGTGCTGTTATTACAAGTGTAAGCCACTGCACCGGGCCGTTTTCTTTAATTCTGAATTAAATGAGGGTTTAAATACAGGTGTATGCTCTGTTACTTTTCTTCCCCCCCCCCCCCCACACACACACACACAGAGTTTTGCTCTGTTGTGCAGGCTGTAGTGCAGTGGTGCGATCTTGGCTCACTGCAACCTCTGCCTCCTGGGTTCAAGTGATTCTTGTGCTTCAGCCTCTGGAGTAGCTAGGATTACAGGCCTGCACCACTGCGCCTGCCTGAGTTTTTTTTTGTATTTTTAGTAGAGATTGGGATTTCGCCACATAGGCTGGGCTGATCTCAAACGCACTCCTAGCCTCAAGTGATCCACCTGTTTTGGCCTCCCAAAGTGTGGGATTATAGGCATAAGTCACTGCATCTGGCATCTGTTAGGCTTTTTTTTTTTTTTTTTTTTTTTTTTTTTTTGGGAGAGGGAATTTTGCTCTCGTCTCCCAGGCTAGAGTATGGTGGTATGATCCTGGCTCATTGCAACCTCCGCCTTCTGGGTTGAAGGGATTCTCCTGTCTCCAGCTGAGTAGCTGAGATTACAGGTGCTTGCCACCATGCCTGGCTAATTTTAGTATTTTTAGTAGAGATGGGATTTTATTTTTTTTCTATTACTTTGATTTGATTTGATTTTATTTATTTATTTATTTTTTGAGATGGAGTTTCGCTCTTGATACCCAGGCTGGAGTGCAGTGGCGCGATCTCGGCTCACCGCAACCTCTGCCTCTTGGGTTCAGGCAATTCTCCTGCCTCAGCCTCCTGAGTAGCTGGGATTATATACTTTATTTTATTTTTAAAAATTTATTTCGGCAAGTGAGTTGTTACACATTCCTCAGTGGATTCTGACTTCCATGGCCCACTGACCTGCTGAGACGGGGTTTTAAGATTGGCCAGGCTGGTCTTTATCTTCTGACCTTAAGTGGGCCACGGCACCCAGCCCTGTTAGACTTTTTGAAAGGATTTTTCTGGCTGCAGGGTTGAAAATAGACTGCAGAGTACCGTGAGACCAGTTTAGAAGACTTGGAATTTTCCAGACTAGAGGAGATGGTGACAGAGACCAGAGTTTCATAGGTTAGGTATGGGGTATGAGAAAAAGGAGTTGAGGATGATCTCAGGATGTTTGGTCTGGCTAGGTTCAGTGGCTTACGCCTGTAATTGGCACTTTGGGAGGCTGAGATGGACTAATCACTTGAGCCTAATAGTTTGAGACCAGCCTGGGCAATATAACATGACCCTGTCTCTACGAAAAACACAAAAATTAGCTGGGCATGGTAGCATGTGCCTGTGTCCCAGCTACTCATGAGGCTAAAGGAGGAAAATGGCTTGAGTTGGGGAAGTCGAGGCTGCAATAAGCCATGTTAGCACTACTGAACTCCAACCTGGGTTACAAGAGAGACCCCTTCTCAAAAAAACTTTTATCTGAGCAATGTGAAAATGAGTTAGCATGTACCGAAGATGTGGAAAGCTACAGGGATAATAGGCTTAAGAATGAGAATAAGGGGCCAGGTGAGGTGGCTTAGGCCTATAGTCCCAGCACTTTGGGAGGCAGAGGCAGGTGGATCACGTGAGGTCGAGAGTTCGAGACCAGCCTGGCCAATGTGTTGAAACCCTGACTCTACTAAAAATACAGAATTATCCAGGCGTGGTGGTGCATGCCTGTAATCCCAGCTACTTAGAAGGCTGAGACAGGAGAATCACTTGAACCCTGGAGGCAGAGGTCGCAGTGAGCTAAGATCGCACCGTTGCACTCCCGCCTAGGCAACAAGAGCCATACTCCATCTCAAAAAAAAGAATGAGAGTAAGGGAGTCCTGTGTTAATTTTTTGAGTGAGAGTATGTTTGAGGTCTGCTATTCCACAGATGGAACGGTTACCTAAGCGGTTTGGTGTACCAGTCTGGAGTTCACAGAAGTTAAAACTGGAGATAGAAATTTGGAAGGATACTGTGTAAGGGTGGTTAGTTCATGCTACTAGATGTCCTTTCAAGGGAGTATAATATGGATGGAAATTAGGTACTCTGTGCTCTGGGCCACTTCCAACATTTAAAGGTCAGGAGATTAAGGAATCATACAGGGAAACTAAAAGGTAGGAAAACTAAGAGTAGTGCCCTGGAAGTCAATGACACGTTTCAAAGAGTGAGTTATTTAACTGAGTCAAATGCTTGTTTTTGGGTGGTTTAGTAAGATGACTGAGATTGGATTAATAAGGTCATTCATTGGTGACTTGACAACGAGTGATTGCCAAGAGTGGTGAAGGTGATGAAGTGTGATTTTGGTGCTTTGAAGAGACAAAGGGAGAGGAAGCAGAGGCACTTAGGGAGTTGCACTATATGAAGAGCAGAGAAGTGGAGTGGAAGCTGCAAGGAGGTTGAGAAATAGTAACATTATTAATTGTCTAAGTGTTTTATTTATGTAGTTTTATTTTCACAGCAACCTGTGAGATAGGCCTGGCAGTTAAATGATGCTAATTTTATAGATGATAAACCCTAAGACATTATTAGTTAAGTGTTTCCTTGCAGTTTCTCATCAATGCTTGCTCCTGTCTTTCAACCAAGATCCTATGACTTTGCTTGGCAAGGTCCCCAAAAATCTAATTTCTGGCTGTACCATAATAGACATACCTTTAAATTAATAAATTGTTGCCCTTCTCATAAATGTAGTGAAGATTAATGTGTATTTGAATGTAATTGTTCATAGAATGCTTGTAGCTTCATCTCTTTATCAAGAATAGCAAAATATTCCAAAAAACCTTAGGAAACAGGATGATTAAGTCACTTGTTGAGTAGCTTTATCCATAAATATTTTAGTTGTAATATAAGGAATAGCTTTTAACAGACATGAAGAGGATTTCTGAGTTTGATTTGTGTGCCCTGGTTTCAAATATTTTTTTTTTTTTTTCCGAGAGTTTTGCTCTTGTTGCCCAGGCTGGAGTGCAATGGTACTTGCACTTGGCTCAACGCAACCTCCATCTCCCAGGTTCAAGCAGTTCTCCTGCCTCAGCCTTCTTAGTAGCTGGGAGTACAGGCACGCACCACCACATCTGGCTATTTTTTTATTTTTAGTAGAGATGGTTTCGCTTTGTTGGCCAGGCTGGTCTCGAACTCCTGACTTCAGGGGATCCACCTGCCTTGGCCTCCCAAAGTGTGTGCTGCTGGGATTACGGGTGTGAGATACTTCGCCGGGCCCTGATTCTTTTTTTTTTTTTTTTTTTTTTTTGAGACAGTCTCGTTCTGTCACTCGTGCTGGAGTGCTCATTGCAACGTCTGCCTCCCGGGTTAAAGTGATTCTCATGCCTCAGCCTACCAAGTGGCTGAGATTACAAGTATGCATCACCATACCCAGCTACTTTTTTTTGGTGGGGGTAAGGGGATGATGGAGTTTTGCTCTTGTTGCCCAGGCTGTAGTACACTGGCTCAATCTCAGCTTACCACAACCTCCACCTCCCGGGGTCAAGCAGTTCTTTTCCCTCAGCCTTCTGAATAGCTAGGCTTACAGGTGTGTGCCACCATGCCCGGATAATTTTATGGGTTTAGTAGAGATGGCATTTCTCCATGTTGGTCAGGCTGATCTTGAACTCCTGACCTCAGGTGATCTGCCTGCCTTGCCCTCCCAAAGTGCTGGAATTACAGGCCTAAGCCACTGAGCCTGGCCTCTTTTTTTTTTTTAAACAGAGTCTCCCTCTGTTGCCCAGGCTGGAATGAAGTGGTCTGATCTCTGCCTACTGTATGTAGCCTCCCCCCTCCCGGGTTCAAGCGATTCTCCCTCTTCGGCCTCCTGAGTAGCTGGGATTACAGGCACCCACCACCATGCCTGGCAAATTTTTGTATTTTTAGTAGAGACGGTTATGCCATGTTGGCCAGGCTGGTGTCAAACTCCTGACCTCAGGTAATCCACCCACCTTGGCCTCCCAAGTGCTGGGATTATAGGTATGAGCAAGCCACTATGCTTGGCCCCAGCTAATTTCTTTTTTTTTTTTTGAGATGGAGTCTTGCTCTGTCTCCTAGGCTGGAGTGTAGTGGTGTGATCTCAGTTTACCGCAACCTCCGCCTCCTGGGTTCAAGTCATTCCTCCTGCCTCAGCCTCCGAGTAGCTGGGAGGCGTGTGCCACCAAGCCTGGCTATATTCTAATTCTTATTATGAGGCTATTTCCTAATCTTTACTTAATTCACACTTGAAACATTTCTGATTTGGATAGGACTACTAGTTATTGCTAATAATTCAAGTAATCAAGATTGCATGGTAAACGTGAAGGAGTGTTTATTGAATGCTTACTGTGTGTTAGACATCTGGCCAAGTGTTTTTTTTTTTTTTGGTAATGGAGTCTTCAGTGTTGCCCGGGCTGGAGTGCAGTGGTGCCATCTCAGCTCACTGCACCCTCCTTCTTATGGGTTCAAGCGATTCCCTTGCATCAGCATCCAGAGTGGCTGGGATTACAGGGGTGCACCACCGTGCCTGGCTAATTTTTATATTTTTAGTAGAGACGTGGTTTCACCATGTTGGCCAGGCCGATCTCGAACTCCTGATCTTGTGATCCCCCGCCTTGGTCTCCCAAAGTGCTAGGATTACAGACATGAGCCACTGCACCTAGCTGAACATTGATTTTTTTTTAACATTATACCAAGTGGTCTTTGATTAATTTGGAATTACTTTTAAAAAAGACTTTTATCTAATGGAAATTGTTGTTGTCAGGTACATAAAGAAACAATAGATGCCGTACCAAATGCAATACCTGGGAGAACAGACATAGAATTGGAAATATATGGTATGGAGGGTATTCCAGAAAAAGATATGGATGAAAGACGACGACTTCTTGAACAGAAAACACAAGGTAAATATTGAAATAAATTGTTTTTCTTTTTTTAATTTGAGGCAGAGCCTTACTTGGTTGGAGTACAGTTGTGGGATCCTGGCTCTCTGCATCTTCTGGCTCCAGGGTTTAAGTGATCCTGTTGTTTTTTGTTTGTTCTGAAACGGAGTCTGTCTCGCTCTGTCACCCAGGGGCATGATCTTGGCTCACTGCACTGCAACCTCTGCCTTCCAGGTTCAAGCAATTCTTGCCTCGGCCTCCTGAGTGGGGCTACAGGCATGCACCACCATGCCTGGCCTCCCAAAGTGCTGGGATTATAGGCGTGAGCTGTCATGCCCAGCCTTAAGTGATTCTTGTGCTTCAGCCACCTGACTAGCTGGGACTACAGGTGTGTACCACCACGCCCAGCTCATTTTTGTATTTTGTTTTTATTTATTTTTGTATTTCTTTTGAGGCAGAATCTAGCTCTGTCAGCCAGGCTGGAGTGCAGTGTCGCAATTTCTGTTCACTGCAACCTCTGCTTCCCAGGCTCAAGTGATTCTCGTGCCTCCGCTACTCAGCTGGGATTTCGGGTATGCACCACTATGCCCAGCTATTTTTTTTGTTGTTGTATTTTTAGTAGAAATGGCATTTCACCATGTTGACTAGGCTGGTCTCAATCTCCTGGCCTCAAGTGATCCACCTGCTTCAGCCTCCCAAAGTGCTGGGATTACAGACGTGAGTCACCACAGCTGGCCTAGTTTTTTCTTTTTTCTTTTTCTTTTTTTTTTTTATGAGACGGAGTTTCGCTCTTGTTGCCCAGGCTGGAGGGCAATGGCGCAATCTCGGCTCACCGCAACCTCTGCCTCCTGGGTTCAGGCAATTCTCCTGGCTCGGCCTCCTGAGTAGCTGGGATTACAGGCACACACCACCATGCCCAGCTAATTTTTTGTATTTTTAGTAGAGACGGGGTTTCACCATGTTGACCAGGATGGTCTCGATCTCTTCACCTCACGATCCACCCGCCTCGGCCTTCCAAAGTACTGGTATTACAGGCATGAGCCACTGCGCCCGGCCTAGCTGGCCTAGTTTTTGTAGTTTTTAGTATAAATAGGGTTTCACCATGTTGGTCAGGCTGGTCTCAAACTCCTGAACTCAAGCAATCCATCTGCCAAGGCCTCCCCAAAGTGCTGGGATTGTAGGTGTGAACCAGTGTGCTTCTCCCCTTGTGGTAATATTCTTTTTTCAGCCTCACTTTAGCCCAGAGTTACTATTTTCAATTATGAATTTAATGGTAGGGCAGTTACAGTGCCTCACACCTGTAATCTCAGCACTATGGGCAGGCAGTACAGGAAGATTGCTTGAGCCCAGAAATTGGAGACCAACCTAGGCAACATAGAGTGACACCCTCTCTTTACAAAAAAATAAAAATAGAAAAATCAGCCAGGCGTGGTGGCACATGCCTATAGTCTCAGCTGAGGTGGGAAGATCTCTTGAGCCCAGGGCATTGATGCTTCAGTGAGCTGTGAATGCTCCAGTCCAGCCTGGGCAACAAAATTGAGACTCTATCTAGATGAATCGATTGATTGCTTGTGATAAGATAGATAAAATTTAATGGTAGATGATAGATCTATTTGGAATTTTAAATTTGAGTTGTTTTTGAAGATTTGTACTTAAGTTGTACCAATTGGATCATTCCGTTTTCTTATTATTCACAATTGAATTCCACATAGAATTAGCAAGTGTTAAGGCATATGAAAATGTTAGACCCCTATGATTTCAGTGCTTTGGGTTGCTGAGACTGGAGGATTACTTGAGGCCCAAAGTTTGAGACCCCATCTTTACCCAAAACAAAACAAAAAGGGGCTGGTTTGGCATGCGCCCGCAGTCCTAGCTACTTGGGAGACTGAGGCAGGAGGATCACTTCAGCCCAGGAGTTTGAGAGTGCAGTGAGCTGCAATCATGCTACTGCACTCCAGCCTGGTTCACAGAGCAAGACCCTGTCTATTAAAAATTTAAAAGAAAAAATACTGATTTAGGATAATCATTTTACCTTTTATGGGACAGAAAGAATGTTAACCTTGTTTAACATAAGGTGAAAACACATTTGAAGAACATAGAACAGTACTAATTGAAGAAAAGTCTCATGAACTAATTGTACTGAAATACATACTTTTTTAATATTGAATGTTGTAAATCGTTTAGTTTTTACTCTATGGAAAGAATTAATTTTTTTTAACAGAAAGTCAAAAAAAGAAGCAACAAGATGATTCTGATGAATATGATGATGACGACTCTGCAGCCTCAACTTCATTTCAACCACAACCTGTTCAACCTCAACAAGGTTATATTCCCCCCATGGCACAGCCAGGACTGCCACCAGTGCCAGGAGCACCAGGAATGCCTCCAGGTAGCACATAGGATTGCTTAAAATCTGACATTCTTGGCTGGGCGCAGTGGCTCACGCCTATAATCCCAGCACTTTGGGAGGCCGAGGCGGGTGGATCACGAGGTCAAGAGATCCTGACCATCCTGGTCAATGAGGTGAAACCCTGTCTCTACTAAAAATAGAAAAATTAGCTGGGCATGGTGGCACATGCCTGTAATCCCAGCTACTCGGGAGGGTGAGGCAGGAGAATTGCTTGAACCCAGAAGGTGGAGGTCGCGGTGAGCCGAGAACGTGCCGTTGCACTCCAGTCTGTAACAACAGCGAAACTCCGTCTCAAAAAAAAAAAAAAAAGCAACTGACATTCTTAGGACTGTATTTATACTGTATCAGAGTATACCTTCTTCACTCTGCCTCTTTAACATTTGTTATTATTTTGATTGAAATTCTTGCTTGTAGGCATACCTCCATTAATGCCAGGTGTTCCTCCTCTGATGCCAGGAATGCCACCAGTTATGCCAGGGATGCCACCTGGGTAAGAAAATTATTTTAATTGTCTTGTGGGCTTGTGCCTAGTAATGATCTTTTTCAATTTGGATGTTATAAGAATGAAATGTTACTTTCTGTTTTTTGTTTCTAGAAGGTATGGGCTCTATAAATCTTGTCTAATAAAGGGATCAACCAGTAAATTTAAGGAATATGAATTTACTTCTGAAGAATAGATTTTTGGGTTTTAGGGTATATGTAAGCGACCATCTACTTCAACTGCATTTGCTGTGATTAAAGTAGTTGGTTATGTATAGATTCGAGTTTCTGAGATTCAGAACTACCTGTGACACTTTGTAGTTGACAAGAAGCAGACAAACTCTGTAAATGATTTATTTGTCAAAGCATCAAAACTAAAAATGAATATGAGGTGCTTGTGCCCATCACTTTTACTTAAATATTGTTGGATGTGAGAGGTATACAATACACTTTCCCACTGTATTTTGAAAATCACAGTTAGATTTTGATTTTGTCATACATTTTCACAGATTGCATCATCAGAGAAAATACACCCAGTCATTTTGCGGTGAAAACATGTAAGCATCTCATTCATAATGTAATTCAGGAGGTATAATCATAATGTCATTTTTTTATGTGTGTGTTTAATGGTATCTATTCAGTTGACTTCAGAACTTTTCTAACCTTCCTCACTAAAACTTGCAAGCTGATTAGCACAGGTCTCTTAAAGGAGAAAAATAAAACATCTTTTTAGGAAATAGTAATAGATCCATTTAAACATACTTAAAATGTGTAGTGATTTTCTCTAAAGTATTGAAAGTAATGGGACTTGATAATAAGGGTTAGTATTTAAGAAAGAAAGACTATATATTTTGTGAAATTACGTACTTTATTATTATAGGATGTAATGGAATTTTCTTTTTTTTTTTTTTCCCTTGAGATGAAGCTTTGCTCTTGTTGCCCAGGCTGGAGTGCAGTGGTACAATTTCAGCTCACTGCAACCTCTGCCGCCTCGGTGATGCTCTTGCCTCAGCTTCCTAGGTAGCTGGGATTACAGGCATGTGCCACCACGCCCAGCTAATTTTTTATATTTTTAGTAGGGATGGGGTTTCATCGTGTTGGCCAGCCTGGTCTAGAACTCCTGACCTCAGGTGATCCCACCTCCCTTGGCTTCCCAAAGTACAGGGATTACAGACATGAGCCACCTCACCTGGCCTGTAATGGAATTTTCTAATAAAATTTATCAATAGAAATTAATTTTCTGATAAAAATTCTAAATCAAGGATTAAATTTACTCACAAAAATTTTAAAAAAAATTAAAAAGAAAATTGACCCCTTTGTCATTTTTTTAAGTGAATTGGACACTGATTTGAAGGTGAGCTCTTTTAGGGGAAAAAAATAAATGGATCGTGTTTTTAAGTCATGGTTCAGTGTTAGGTAGCTATTGCAAATAGTAGGCCATCTGGATTTACTTTTGAGTATCTCTAAATTTGGTAGTTGTATTTCCTTTCTTTTAAAATATATGTATAAAGACAGGGTCTCTCACTCTTGTCGCCCAGGCTACATTGCAGTGGCACAGTCACAGCTTGCTGCAGCCTCGACTTCCTGGGCTCAAGTGATCCTTCCACCTCAGCCCCCTGAGTATCTGGGACTACAGGTGGACACTACTACACTCAGCTAGTGTTTAAAATTTTTACCTTTTTTTTTCCTTTTTTGCAAGATAGGGTCTCACTTTTTGCCTAGGCTGGTCTTGAACTCCTGGGTTCAAGCAGTCCAAGAGACTTGGCCTCTCAAAGTGCTGGGATTCCAGGCATGTGTTGCCACACCTAGCCAAATAAAAACTCATTTCACATGGTACATTCGGTCTTCCTTTGCAAAATGCAACACAACTCTAAAATAGAGATTTCTTCTTTTTAGTACTCTGATATTTTCCAAGTGGAAAAAAATCATGATTTTGCTTTCCAATTATGCATACTTTAGATGAGGCCTCTTGTACATATTGAGAGTGTATTTGTTCTCAATGACTTTAAATGTTTTGTCAACATTTTTTTTCTTTTATTGGTAAACCAAAGAGTTTGCTGGGTTTTAGACTATTTATTTTGATAGGATTGTTACAGTGTGTTGTGTGTTCTTTCAGCTTGATTCATTTCAATATTAGAGGTCAAATTCAAGTCTTTTAGCCAGAATATTTTTTAATGGTTTATGCTATTCATTAACTTAGTATTTCTTGAAATTTGCTTTCTAATAGAATGATGCCAATGGGTGGAATGATGCCACCTGGACCAGGAATACCACCTCTGATGCCTGGAATGCCACCAGGTACGATATGTTAGATAGTTTCCTCTAACAGGTTTTATATAGACTTCTAAGTTTTTTAGACATTTGTGGGCATTGGTATAATGAAATTTAAGAATTTCCCTAAGTTGCAAAGTGTTAAGTGGTATATGGACCCTTTAAAAAAAAAATGTGTTTTAGTAGATATCTGAAGACGATAGCCCTTTTTTGAAGTTTGAAATAGATGTTAGGTTTCCAAGCAGCCAAAGTGAATCATGGCCTGTGTGCTGAATCTCATGTACTTAAGAACACTAGTATTTGTTAAACTTTTTTTTGTTTAAGGAGGTTTGCTCTTGTCCAGGCTAGAGTACAATGGCACAGTCTCTGCTCACTGCAACCTCTGCCTCCTGGTTTCAAGCAATTCTCCTACCATAGCCTCCTGAATAGCTGAGTTTGCAGGCATGTGCCACCATGCCTGGCTCAATTTTTGTATTTTTAGTGGAGACGGGGTTTTTCCATGTTGGTCAGGCTGGTCTTGAACTCCCAATCTTAGGTGATCCACCTGCCTCAGCCTCCCAAAGTGCTTGGATTACAGGCATGAGCCACTGCGCCTGGCCTTCCACTTTTTTTTTTTGAGATGGAGTCTTGCTCAGTTGGCCAGGCTGGAGCACAGTGGCACAATCTCAGCTCATGGCAATCTGCCTCCTGGGTTCAAGTGATTTTCCTGCCTCAACCTCCTGAGTAGCTGGGAGTGCAGTTGCCCACCACCGTGCCCAGCTAATTTTTGTATTTTTAGTAAAGATGGGATTTTGCCATGTTGGCCAGGCTGGTCTTGAACTCTGACCTGGTGGTTGATTGAAATAATTATTTTATATTTTACAAGAAGTTGGCTAAATCAGTAGGATCAGTAAGCATAATTGCCAAATGTTTTGCCCATGCATTAGGTTCTAATGTTATCTTCCACTTTTAAAATTCTGAAGCAGTACAAAGGGAAAATTTGAGGCAAGACTGTTGCATGGGCAAATGCTTAAGTTCCTTGGACTTAATTGAGGTGTTGAGCAGTTATTGTTAATAACTTTGTAGTGTAGAAGTAAGTGTTTTTTCCTACACTAAATTTTTCAGTTCACTTAGTCTCCCCAAACATTTCTTCTCTGAAGGTATGCCCCCGCCTGTTCCACGTCCTGGAATTCCTCCAATGACCCAAGCGCAGGCTGTTTCAGCTCCAGGTATTCTTAATAGACCACCTGCACCAACAGCAACTGTACCTGCTCCACAGCCTCCAGTTACTAAGCCTCTTTTCCCCAGTGCTGGACAGGTAAGGTGAAAATCCTAAAAAGGAGTGCACTTATATTTAAAGATAAAGTGCAGTTGTTTATGGAATGTTTTGAAATTCTCAAAGGTCAATTTTTTTTTGTCTATATAATATTTTTAATATAATTTACTAAATATACTAAAAGGTGGCTTATCCACTTCCATGTTTATACACTGATTTCCTCTACTCGTAAAAGGTTGAATGAAGCCAAAGTTAATATGTTACTTTTACATATTTGTGAACCGTATATATTCTTAGCTTTTTTTTTTTTAACTAATGAAAGTTTAATATCGGGTGTTTAGAGGTCTTCCTTTACTGACTGAACTATTACTGGAATGAGACCAAAGCCAAAGATGAACATCCTTAAGACTATAGCAAATCCTCTAGTATGGAACAGTGATGAGCTACAGTGCTGCACTTGTGCTAAAATGGTGTCATTTAATCGCTTTTGACCTAGTCACACTTGTATTTCTTACTGGTCTTTTTTCAAAGCTTTTAAAACTTTTCCAAAGCATAAGTGAAAGATGCTTCTGTTATTATGGTGTGCACATAATGGTTAAAACCTTGGCTTTTTTCCTCGTTTCATTGGTAAATAAGCAGATTCAGATTTAATGTCTTTAGAATTTAGATCAGGAGGTATGTTTATTCATTTTATTTTTTAGATTATCTTTTACATTTTTTAAAAACTTTTTTTTCTGTGAGTGCTAAATTAAAAGCATTTTCTTTAAGTGCCTTTTATTAAGCACATTAATCTAGCTTTTATGGTGGGTGGGAATTTTATGTATTGAGAGATGTAATGGACAAAAATCTTTTGTAGAGAATCATTGATACAGAATTGGATTGAAGTGTCAGTATTTATACATCGCTATTCTCAGTTTCAGGTATTCTTGAAATAATGCAAAACAGTAGTTTTAGAAAATAAACTAGTTAACTAGGTTTTATTGGTATAGAATTAAATTTTTTTTGAGGCTCGTATTTTAATATTGTTTATTGTAAATGCATTAACTGCCTGCCTTTTAAAATAAGTGACATTTGATTGCATTCAATTTTGCATTTACAAAAATGCAATCTAAAAAGTCTACCACATGGCTTATTTTGACCCATTTGTTTGGAGACTTTTCATTGTTTCCTTTCTTTTATGCTACAGATGGGGACACCTGTCACAAGCTCAAGTACAGCTTCATCCAATTCAGAAAGTCTGTCTGCATCTTCTAAAGCTCTGTTTCCTAGCACAGCACAAGTACGCAGGAAGTTGCAGTTTAAAATTGTTAAAATGGCTTTATAAGTTAACCCTTTGGACCCTACTTAAAAACTGAATATTTTTCCAAAAATATACTGTTTAATTTTTTAAAGCAGAAATAATGCTATGTAAGTCAAATTGTATTTGAAAATTTGAATTCATACTAAAAATAAGTACCCTAAACTCCTGTGGTTCTAAAGGGTTAAAAGCATGTAAGCAGTAAATGCATTATAGTGGCCAATGGTTGGCCTGATGCGTGATTAAGCTATTTTGATTTATGCTGTTTAATGCATCATATTTAATGTAAGAAAATTTAATACTCTGCTTTGATCCTAAAAGTTGGCCTCGTCTACATGTTTTAGATGTGTGGTATTATGAAAAGTAACACATCTGTTACTGATAACTTGCTACTTTAAAAGATCCTACTGAATTAATTCTTTTGTCTATGGTAATTATCCAGCCATTGTTAATTTGGAGGGGATTTTATAAATATATAAAGAACACTGCTAAAGGACATATCTTTAATGTGTCACCATTTATAGTCGTTCATGTTATACTTAGTAACTGGAGTTTTTAATGTTTCACCATTTATAGTCGTTCATGTTATACTTAGTAACTGGAGTTTAAACTCATATTCTGTAGTTTTTTGGGTTTTTTTTTTAGCTGTTTGATAGATTAACAACTAAACTATTAATAGAACAGTAAAAATAGAACACATGTTACTCTGTTATAACATACTGTATTTCAGTAGTCTGGAATAAATACAAAGCATTGTAAATTTAATTTTTGGTGAGGAGGTAGAAGACATCTAACAAGTTAAATAATACAGTTTTATTTCCACTGCTGTGTTCTGGATGTGACTTTAACACAGCATCTTTTGATACTCTTAATGGGTTATCTTGAATTCTGTGGAGTGTTTGTTGCATGTTATCTTTGTTTTAATTTCATTTAAAGTTTGGTCCTTTATTTAATGTTGATGCCTTGTTTTAAGTTAAACTGTTTGTAGATATACTTAATTTGGGGTTTTGAAGTTTTGTTGATGAAGTATTGTATTTTACAGGCTCAGGCAGCTGTCCAGGGACCTGTTGGTACAGATTTCAAACCCTTAAATAGTACCCCTGCAACAACTACAGAACCCCCAAAGCCTACATTCCCTGCTTATACACAGTCTACAGCTTCAACCACTAGTACAACAAATAGTACTGCAGCTAAACCAGCAGCTTCAATAACAAGTAAGCCTGCTACACTTACAACAACCAGTGCAACCAGTAAGTTGATCCATCCAGATGAGGATATATCCCTGGTAAGTTCTTTTAAGTTTTCTACTAGCAGCATTTGATTTAAAGCCATTATAGCAATTTGTCCCTTTGAAAAGTGTTACTTTGTGCTCACATGGTCTGTGATCTGGTTTAATGCTTACTAAGTGGTTTTTGCCATTGTGATTCTTAAGAAATCACAAAGTACTTAAAGTGGATGGATAGTGCATGTTTTGGTTTTAGATGTTTTCTCTCCCCTTCCTCCAGACTATTCCTAAAAGAAGACATTAAGTCAGGTTCTTAACTCTTAAAAATCATTTTAGTTAAACACAAATTTGCATATATTAATTGAAGAACTGTTAAGTGTGAAGTAGAATCTGTAGATCCCCTAAGTCCCATATAAAGGAATTAATTTTAATATAAAGTCAATATTTAGAATGTTGATAATGGCTGGGCACGGTGGCTCCTACCTATAATCTTAGCACTTTGGGGAGGCTAAAACAGGTGGATCACTTGAGGTCAGGAGTTCAAGACCAGCTTGGCCAACATGGTAAAACCCCATCTCTAATAAACATACAAACATTAGCCATGTGTGATGGCAGGAGCCTATAATCCCAGCTACTAGGGAGGCTGAGGCAGGAAAATCCCTTGAACCTGGGAGGCGGAGGTTACAGTGAGCCAAGATTGCACCATTGCGCTCTGGAATGAACAACAGAGCAAGACTGAGTTTTGGGGGAGGAAAAAAAGGGAATGTTAATAACAATATTTCATTAGATAGTTTTTTGTTGAAGCAATTTGTAACTCCTGGAAAGTTGTTAGTGAGGCTTCAAGTTTACGAATAGGTGAAGTTTTAAGATATATAGAGTTTAAGCAGTTGGATTGGTTGGTTTGGGAAAAGTAAATAGTTGGGGAGTAAGGGTAAATGTTTGAAAATTACCCAGTGTTACAAGATTTTAGATGCATTCCTTTATGTTTGATGAAGCTCTGCATTCAGGTATTGAACCTTGTGCTTATTTTTATTCCCAGGAAGAGAGAAGGGCACAGTTACCTAAATATCAACGTAATCTTCCTCGGCCAGGACAGGCCCCCATCGGTAATCCACCAGTTGGACCAATTGGAGGTATGATGCCACCACAGCCAGGCATCCCACAGCAACAAGGAATGAGACCCCCAATGCCACCTCATGGTATTCCTCTTTTTATCTTTATCATATTTAGTGGATTTTCTCAGTTAATGCATAAAATATTAAATTCATTTGCAATATACATTGCATTTTAAAAGTACAGTACATAACGATCTATTTTTTGTGTTTGAAATTGTTGTTTTTTAGGTCAGTATGGTGGTCATCATCAAGGCATGCCAGGATACCTTCCTGGTGCTATGCCCCCATATGGGCAGGGACCGCCAATGGTGCCCCCTTACCAGGGTGGACCTCCTCGACCTCCAATGGGAATGAGACCTCCTGTAATGTCGCAAGGTGGCCGTTACTGATCCTACTTCATCCAGTCTAAATAGGTTTGGAGATTAAACCTTTTCTCAACTTGTGCTGTTTATATAGCCAAGCTTCCGTCAATAAGGCTTCATTGTGACTTTAACAAACATTATCTTACCACATACCAGGAACTATTGGACATTTATTTTACATGGGAAAAATTATTTGGAATAAAGCAGGAGCTTTTCCTGAAGTTGCAATTTATACTGTATGGCTTCTTTTTCATGTTTCATCTAGGTTTTTAGAAGTGAAGTATAGTAAATTTGGTTCGTTAAATTGTGAAGGCGCTGGAATTACATGAACATACCACCTTATTAAAGGCAAGTTCTGTAAGCTTACATTGCTATTTGTAAAGTTATGCCTTCACAGCATTTCAGATGCTGTTGGACTTCATGTCCCCAACCTAGCTTGGTGAGGGCTGTAACTGTTTCCAAGTACTTGTACATTGGAAGTCTGAATGTGTAACAATATTTAATGTATTTAGAGTTCCTCATGTTGCAGGGTTTAAGAAATCTGACCCACCAAGGTCATGTGACTTTTCTGTACTGTTAAACTTCATTGTAATAAAATGAGAGAAAAATTTATGCCTTTTTATTCATAACCCAGCTGTGGACCACTGCCTGAAAGGTTTGTACAGATGCATGCCACAGTAGATGTCCACATAATAAAATACATAGTTACCAATGCAATTTTGATATATCATTGGATTCTGTCTTTGAGTTGTAGGTTATTTCTTAGCTGCATGTTTTAAACTGAATAGTGTATGTAGAGTTATATGTTAATGCTTCAGTTAACAGAAAAACTCAGGTATGTGAGTCATTACACAATGGATATGAAAATCTTTATAATCACCTTCCCACCTTCTTTGGTGTCAGTACACATCAGGTGTCATAGATACTTAAAATGTAAATGTTAACACTTTTTCCTTCCTGCTAAGATGTTTAGAGTCTAGTGCCAGACCCATTCATTTTCTTTTGATTATTTTTGAGACTTCAGTACTGCATGGACCTCAGAAGCTTTTCAGGTGCAAACTTCTAGAAGCTTAGGTGCATGCAGTCATAGCTTCTTGTGCTGCTAATGGATTGGTATAAATTATTCTAAGTATAATGCTGAGAATCTGAATGTGTCTCTGTTGGGATGGTTAACAGATGGATTGGCAGTTTTTAACTTTATTATGATCCTGGAAGATTACATTATTCAAGTACCTCTGTTATTAAGCCTAGATAGCCTTACTGTGCAACTTTTTATCCTTGGAAATTTTGAATGTTGTGTTCTTACAGAGAGCTTTTCTGTAGAGATGACTACTTTTCAATGTTTGGTGTTGGAACTAGCTCTTGTTGACCTTTTTGGGATCTGTTTTTCTGATCTTTACTTTTGCAGGGTAGTTTTATGACTATTTAGGTATCAAATAACCTATGCAAAATATTAATATAATGAACTCAAGTTGAGTTTTTCTCATTATAAAGCTAAGATTGCTAAGAAAATGGTAACATTTCTTTGTAACTTTCCTGTGAAGGTATAGATAAAAGACATGAACTCTGAAGTTGTAAGAAAAGGGGGGCTTTAACTTTGAAGGAAAATAATATTGAAAAGTGATTTAGCCATCACAGAAGAGTTCATATTTATGTGACAGGTAAAAGTCATACATTTAAGCAAGACATTGCAAATATTATAAAGCTAATGCTGTTTTACCTCATATTGGCTGGGAGTGTGGCTCATACCTCTAATCCCAGCCCTCTGGAAGGCTGAGGTAGGAGGATTGCAAGTACAGGTTGATTAACATGGCAAAACTACAAAACATTTAAAAATTAGCCAGGCATGTTACTGTGGGTCCGTGGTCCCAGCTAGTTGAAAGGCTGAGGGAGGTAAGGATCACTTGAGCACAGGAGGTCGAGGCTGCAGTGACCTGCGTTTACTTCAGCCTGGGCAACAGAGCGAGACTCAAAAAATAAAATACCCGATTATTTGGCTTCAGTGATTTTATAGCTGCTGTGCTTTGTAGTACCATAGCAGTACAAAATTTTTCATAGCTTGAAAATAAAATGTTCATGTTTCATCAAGAATATATTTCTTCCTTCTGCCAGTTGCCAAGTCCCAAACCACTTTCCCCTCTGAACCTCTGCCTACCTAAATGGTTTCAAAGTTAGTACACAATTCTTTGATTTGGCAGCACACTTAATACACTGCCAAAGAAAAATTTTGTTGAAAATCTTTAAGATATAAATAGTGTGATTAAGTAGGGGATGCTCTCCCAAATTCTCAAGAATTTCATGTACAGGGTTGTGGACAAACTGCAAAAGGGTTAGTAGACCTGTTTCAAAAATTATGTGAAGCTTTGTTTGCATTTTGTGGAAAGAAGGCTGATACTTATAGCAATGTTTTTTGCTCTCTGTATAGGTCCGATGGGCAAAAATAGAACTTTTAAGTATGGGATAGAATTCTAATTAAAAATTAATCGAAAGTGTTAGGCTTTGGCATATAAAACTCAAGCTCATGAGTTCCTGCATTTGTAGCTATAGACTCATAGGTGGTGTACCCATTTAATATAATTGAAGTGTAATTTTTGCATGCATCCAAGGATAATCAAGCTTCTAGAAAGCTTTTATCTAAATGCTTCTGGGGTCCATAGTGTGGTTGAATCATGAGTAGAGCAAATTACGTTCATATAATTAATTCTAACCTAACCTTCCTTAAGTAATAGATGAAGTTGAGTCAAAGTGAATGCCAACTGCCCTCACAGAAGACAACTTTTGGGATTTGATAATTCAGGCAGGCATTGTGATTGCCATAATTAAGGAAGTTGTAAGGTTAGTAGGGCTGGCAGCTTTGGCTCTACCTTACATCCATCCACCCCTTTTAGAAAAACGAGAACATTTTGTCTGGCACTAGTTTCTATTGTATAAGTTTTCATACTGTGTAGCAGTAACAAGACCACAGCAGGTGAGGATTAACTTTTGAGTGGCTGCTGGAATTATTTGATTTGAATACTTAGTATTTTAGTAGTCTCTCACATATTTGCCATTGGGTATGAATAAAATATTCCTACCGTACTCTATTCCACTAAGTTACATATTTTCAACTTAGACTCACCTTAATTAAACTTAGTTAATTGGAGAGTGGGATTCCCCAACAAAAATAAGTACGGACTCTGAATGGAATTGTAGTGAACAGTAGTTAAAAACGAAGCTGCTCCTTTTGCTTGCTTGATCATTGGGATTTAAAAAAAAAAAATTAATGCATGTCTTTTAAATTAATTGGGAACTGTTTTTCTAAAATTAAAATTTTCTTCTTCCTATAGCCCTGCCATAGGACAGGCTGAGGCTGAGTCTCAGTGTTGCCCTGTTCAGTCTGAGGCAAGTGGGATTTATTTTATTCCTTATGGGGGCTTTCACAGCTTTATGGCTGTTGGATATTTATGTCCCCAAACTTGCAGCAAGTTTGGTGAAGGCCCCTACATTTAATTAAACTTAGGATTTTTATACTCTTTTGGCAGAGAAGGCTCTATATTAATATTCACGTTTGACTGTGGTGTTAATAAACATTAAGTATTTCATATGCAATTTTATGTAATTTGCTTTGTGTTACATAATAAACAGCTTCAGTAAAGCTTGTGTTACTATATTGAACTTAAGTAAATTGATGAAATTTGATATTTTTGATTTGGAGGCATGAAATGTTTCAGATTTTCTGCTTGCACTTCTAGGAAAATCTTACTGGTTTTATTTTCTCTGTAAACTATTAAATTTAACCTCAAGGATAAGTTTAATCATTGGAAATGCCACAGCTGGAGTGCGGTGATCTTCGCTTACTGCAACCTCCGCCACCTGGGTTTAAGTGATTCTCTTGCCTCAGCCTCCCAAGTAGCTGGGGATTACAGGTGCCCACAGCCACACTTGGCTAATGTTACAGTATTTTTTAGTAGAGACGGGGTTTCACCATGTTGGCCAGGCTGGTCTCGAACCCCTGATCTCAGGTGATCTGCCCATCTCGGCCTCCCAAAGTGATGGGATTACAGGCGTGAGCCACCGCGCCTATTTGAAATCTGCATTCTCAATCACAAACTTAGCATTGAATGTTAAGGCTAAAAGGTCATCTGGAAATGCTTGATTTTTTAAAAATATTTCCAAGCCTCACCACATTAGAGCAAATGTTAATGTAGAGCCCTGTAAAGATGGGAAGGTGTTGTCTATGTGTGTGCTTGTGTATGTGGGGGTATAGACCATACAGTTGATACATAACAAGAATTTGGGTGATATAGACCTTTTAGTATGGTTAGATTACTGATTTTCAGGTATCCAAACTGAAATTTGATACCTGATGATGTGGTAAAGTATGTTCAACTATGGTTTTGGAGTGATTATTTTGAGGTTCATTTTCAGCCTTACTGAACTGTGTTTTATGCACATGTGAAAAGTATCCACATTAGTTTCCAACTAAAATTTGCTTTTATTTGGTGAGAAAAGTGTGTGTGCGCGGGCGCGGGCGTGTGTGTGTGTGTGTGTGTGTGTGTGTGTTGTAGGGAATAATTACAGTGAGGCCAAAAGCAAACCTGAATTATTTTTGTTTTTTGTGTTTGAGCCACCATTCCATCCAGATAGCAGTTTACTCTGAGCAGTAACAGTTAACAAACAGTATAACATTTAGCAAACCTGGAATTGTTTATACATGGTTTTCATTCTTGGAAGCCTAAGGAAAAAAATATACATTAAATGAATTTCAGATTTTGACCTGCTTAATAATAACATGTTTTTCACCATAACGAAATGATATAAAAGGCTTTTAATATTTAAAGAAAGAATTTTGTTGCTTCCATTACAAAATATTCCATTGGACTATTTTATAACTTCAGTAATCAACATGTAAGAGCCCTTAATTGGAGATTTGTTTTCTCTCATACCTACCATCCCCCAATATGCTGAAATCTTTAGAAGTTGCTTGTCTTAATTCTGATGGTGATAATGAAAAAATGTGCTGGAAATAAAGGCTCGATTTATCTGCTTGAGTACTGCGGGTGGGAGGAATTTAGCAATGGCATAATTATTTGAAGGTAATATATATAGATAACTAAGAGTTCCCTTTTTTTTTGTGGTAGTTCTGTGACTCAGACAAATAAGATTTTGATAATTATGTAATTTTTAGATGTCTGTAACATCCACTGGTAAAACTTGGCAAACAAAAGAAAATATTGAAGTCATTGCTTTAACTGAGCCAAAATTTTGTTTGAGTAAGTTGATGAAAGTAGATATGCACCCTAGAAGTAGATACCCTAAAATTTATATGGACATTTATATCTTTTTTTAAATGCTATAGTTATTGACCTAATACTGAGTAATCTTTCTGTGTTATTCCAAAATGAAATTTGCTTGCTCTTCATTGTAACTTTTATGGAAAAGTCCTTTAAAAAGGGGATTTCGTTGTAAGGCTACTGGCTATAGGGCAGAGTTTGATGAGCAAACATTCCCCCACTTCTGCTAACTATCTCATGACAGTGAAGTTTACTTCTTTTTTTAACCCTTTCTTGGTATTTTAATTTCATTGAATCATTTAAATAATAACCTTTTGTTTTTATAGCAATCATCTGACTTTTCTGTGTGATATTTCTTGGCAAAATAAGAAGCACTTAACGATGTTGTATATAGATAGGATCATGTACACAATGGATGTTCATAATTTTGTGATTAGTGCTGAATTTTCAAAACTAATATCTTAAGTTCTTAGAACACCCGATTATGGATCTAATTCAAACCAATATGTAGGAAATGGAGAAAGTAGAACTTCAGTTTGAGCTTCCCAGTAACTAAATATATCCAACTTTTCCAAATGTTTATCTCAAAAAACATCTCTTTATTTTTTTTTAACCTGGCATTTTTTATTAGAAAATAGATGAACTTTTAAAGGAACATTTGAAAAAACATTTCTTCAGTAAGGCTCAGAAAATAATTGCTTTAAACAAGTACTATTTTTTTCTTGCTTTTGGCTCTATACATTTTTGGATATTTTAGTCTCTAAAGGAAGAGCTTTTCATTTTCTTCCTAACTCTGGAAAATAATAGTTTGGACCTAAATTAATTTGAAAAATCTGAATAATCTCTCTTTAAAACTCTTTTCAATTAGTCTCACGTATTCTCAGAAGAAAATGTCTTTATTTTACTAAGCAGAATGTAGTAGTCATTAAGGCAGAAATTTGTAGTCTGAAGGAGATAGGTCTTCACTGAAGCCAATTTGAAAAATTCCTATTTGAAGCAGGTTGGACACTTATAAATCCAGACTGGCTCATTAGATGGAAACTTTGATGGTTAGGTTCTTTAGGAGGCATACAGTCAGTTATGGTTATGAAAATGTTGATGTATATGTTTTAATTTTGATCAAAATAACCTTAGAGGAGGTACATGTGAGTAAACTGTGTCTTAATGGTTGATTACTTGGACCCCGCCTGTTCTGTAAGGTAGTAATATGGCACAGCTTCAGTAATGTGTGCTGTTTGTAAAAAGGTGAAGTCCTTCATTGGCATTTTCTAAGCCCTCTGACATTCTTAGTGTCTGGGTTGGTTGGTTTGCATTTTACCATTATGGTTGAATCTGTATTCCTTCACCACTGGTTAAGTCTGAGGAACGGACAGTGAAGTTCATTGATGGACAACTTGGATAAAAATGAAGAATGATATCCCAGTTTACTTCACAGGTCAATAGTGATCATTTGGGAGGTGTTATTTGACTTAAGAACCTTAAATGTATTGAAAAGTAACAGCATTCTTGCTCATGGTTTGCATTTGTTACTGAGGTCTCACCATATCATTTATTTTAATGTAGCTTATTAAAATTTTATTCATAAATAGTTCAGCAATCACAGAGGTAAAAAAAAAAAATAAGATTTTTGTACCATTATCTTCCAATCTTTGCCAGTAAAATGAGGCTGCTTAACTACGCAAGTGGAGCAAGGGAAGAGTAATTACAGTTACTGTAAGTCTTGAGTTAGAAAAGATATGGAACATCTAGTTATTGAGCAAAGCCCCCTTTTACCTATTAACTTATTAGGTAATTCAAGGAGAAACAATAGGATTTGCTTCCTAGTACATGTTTTAAAAATTGATAGTCTCTGATGTGACAAAATTTTTGTGAAAGTTGAATTACAAGCTTTTAAAAATTGCTTGTCTTTGGGGATGTGTTTACATATTCATTTAAATTTAGAAACTACTACATGTTTAAGATACATGCTCATCCCCTTTTTGGAGTAATCAAAATTTCCATCACAATTCACATACTGGAAAACATAGTTTATAAGATCGAGATGTGTCCAAGAGATTTTCAGTGTCATTAGTTCATTCTAAATAGCCAATGTAAGATAACTTTTGTATAAAAAAAAAATAGGGAAAAGTTTTAAATGTATAGCAGGCTCTGAGGAAATTTAATGCACATTGACTTTTTAAACTATGGATTGAACTCCTCAGTTTAATACAATTTGTGTTTTTGTTAACTAGCAGCAGAATTTCAGCATTTGCTACTTACTGGTAGAGAAGAAAAATCCCACAGCCCTGCCAGTACAGGTTAGTTTAATCTGTAAGTACCTGATGTTCCTATTTTTTTCAAACATATCCATATAACTCACACAAGGAAGAAAGCTGTGCAGTTACTTAAATGTGAGTATAACTAATAATAGGTCCATTGGACACTTACAACACTCGATACTTGGGCCAAAGTAGATCTAGGTTTGCTAACCCCAGTTGTAATAAAGGTGTAATACTGCTCCTTTGTTGTCTCTTTGTGGTTCAACCTAAGTAGACACATTGTCCATAAAAGGAAAAGACAGTGAGTTAAAGTTGGCAATGCCCTTGTTGATGAATGATATGGAGTCCAGGGCTTTGGGTCTGGGGTCTTTTACTTAAGCTCTTCCATGGAGTTCTCTCATTCACCTTTTAACTTTTCACAGTATGAATCAACCTAAGAAAAAAGGCAAGTTTCCTCACATCTAGAAATAATAAGTGGTGTACAATCATAAGTTAGAATATGTTTTTATAATGCTTTGTTCTTAAATACTTTTAGCAGCACTTGTAAATGCAAGTACTCATTTTTTCTTTCTTTTTTTTGTAAATTATAACGTATCCTGTTGGTGTACCTGTGTGAGTTCATTTTACTTTGAACTAAGAATAAGATACCTTTTTAATAGTCAAATGAAAGCTGACTGCCCATCAAGAAATGCAGCTAGATTCTTCATGTAACACTTCTGAGAGGCATTGGGAACACAATGGGTTGTGGAAGGTATTTGCAACATTTTTAGTTTTTCATTCTACCCAAGTTCATTGTTTGAACCATCCTTAAAAGATTTCCTTTAATGTTTAAATGTTGTGCTTGTAGGTTGACGCAAACATAAAGCACTGAGGAGGGAGGTATAAAGCATACAAGTTAATTTCTAATTTTTGTAAGCTTGAACCATTCTAATCTGATAGTAGGATGTATGGCTTCTTCCTTTTCACCTTGTGTGATGTCTGATTTGAGACAATCTAGCCATAAAACTAGTTCATCTTGCACTCCTCTTGAGCTAGATGGTGATTAGCCATTGTGAAAACAGATAATCTTTATATGGAAATTGTACATATTGTTAAAATTTTAAAACGTGGATTTATCAACTGATAATAAAATATATCTTACCAGATATCCACTTGTTTTTTAATGTAAAATTGCACAAGGGTTTAAGTTTCATTGCCTTTCACAGTTTAATCTGTATATGAAATGGCGTAGATACAGTGGAAATGGTTTTCCTTAAAACCATCTCTTTAAAGCTGCCTTTCTGGTGAGTACTGTTTTATACTTTTATATATCATAAGTTTACCTAATAAAATTAACTGAAACAGGACACTTTGATTAAAGAGGTGAGCAATCTGAATTTCTCTATCTCTTTGAATATTGCTTGAATCAGGAATATTAGAAAATGATTATTTTACCACCTGGCATTTCCCTATTAATCCTAGTTCACTTTTTTCTGATCTTCACTTAATAGACTCTAAATACAAAAACTTGTTACACATAAATTACTTCATTTTGGTGAGAAGGAATAAATGTTTTTATTTAAAACTAGTATTTAAGAAAGTTCTTAAACATTTTCTTTTTAGTTGGCAGCCAAAGTATTTTTCTCAGTGCTTTGGAGACATTGCATTGTTGTAAAATTAAAATACCAGAACTTCATTCTGTTTTTGTTGAAGTTGTTGTTGCAGTGATTCTTGAACAGTTAGCTGGAGTTTGGGTGGGAGAAGGGTTTACCGAAATTCTTAGTGCAGACCAGTTACTTACAAGGTTTCTTTGAGAGGCTTAAAAATTTCAAAAGTATTTAAGCCACTCTGACCCTGCATTAAAAATAGGAGTTAGAAATACTGATTTCTGAGACCACATATACCAGTGAAAATTAGCTTCTATTTTTAACCACTTTATGTCCTGGTTTATTTAGCCTTGGTATGTTTAACACATGGGTTATTTCTTCCCCTCTAGTTTTTAGCTACATCCTAGATAAAACCAGCATATGCTAGGAGTGTTTTTACATTCTATTTTGCTGTGATCTTTATAAACAAATAAACTCAACTCTAAATGCTTTTTAGTGTGAACAATGATAGTTTTGTAAAATCTGAAAATTGATATCTGAGTATGTGATGTGGCAATGCATTCTTCTAGATAAGCACTAAACAACATATGGACCTTCAATTTGTGTCTTTAAGATTTAAAATGAAGTAAATTTCTAAGGAACTGTGTCCTTTCCTAGCAGGAATAAACAGACAGTGAAAATTTGGTAAGTATATCACTTTTTAAGTGCATGTAATAGCGATGAGAGTAGCCAAATTTTCATAGTGTTAAGATAATGTTTAAAAGTGAGCAGGAATTATTTTTGCGACTTAATGTATATGTGTCTGACATTTTTACAAACTTGTGTGCATAAACATTAAATTGGAACATACCTTACTCCTTTGGGTTTTTTTTGGGGGGGTATGATGCTTTAAATACTAATTTTATATTTCAAGCTTTTTGCAGGGTAGAAATAAGTGGCCGTTAAAGAAAATATCTTCAAGAAGAATTATTTCAATGTCCCTTTTTAAAACCTGACGATGGCTTTCAGTTTACTTAAGTCTTCTGTTTTTCAGCTCCAGTTAAAACTGACAATAGGCAGCTATCAAAAATGGAAAAAAATCTTGTGCTCTTTCTGGAATATTAGAGGAATCAGTTAATAATAATAAAGTGGTTTTAAGCCAATGCTTGATTTGCATGGAAGCAGTTTTTAAATTAAGAGAGAAGAGGTGATGAAATTTGGGAGTCTACTCCCTGGGATGTTGTATTAATAAAGTGATAATAAATGAAGGTTAAAGTGAAGTGTTTAATTGCTACCCCAGGAAATAATTGATTATTTGTGAGGAAAAAGCCCATTTATTTCCAAACTAGTCTATAGTGGTTTAGAGTAAGCATTATTTTATGAAGTGGTGCAAGATCCCAAACATTAGTAAAGAGACCTCTCAGGTCAATCTCTAGGCTTCACTTTTACTTGACAAGGGATTATGTAAAGAATAAGTCAGATAAGGGATATGGTTTGTAAGGAGGTCCTGACCAAAGGATGATAAATGTTATTCTATATATATCATTAAATGGTCTAGCTAAAGAAAAATCATGACTGATAGCATTTTTAAAACTTTTTTTTTTTTTTTTTGAGACAGAGTCTGGCCATCGCCCAGGCTGGATTGCAGTGGCACAATCTTGGCTTACTGCAAATTCCGCCTCCTGGGTTCAGACAATTCTCCTGCCTCAGCCTCTTGAGTAGCTGGGATTACAGGCACCCACCACCAAGCCCACTAATTTTTGTATTTTTAGTAGAGACGGAGTTTCACCATTTTGGCCAGGCTGGTCTCGAACTCTTGACCTTGTGATCTGCTCATCTTGGCCTCCCAAATGCTGGGATTACAGGTATGAGCCACTGCACCCAGCCCACATAGTTTTTAATGTAAGTAAATGAGCTCACTAAAGTTCTTACACGAATAATACTAGTGTCTTCTGTCACTTTGATTTGTCATCTGGTTAAATAGCTGGAAGCTTGTGCAAATGAAAAATGAAATGGAAGACTACGTTTACATGTATATCTGTATAATTTTTGTCTATTAGTGAGTGGTTCAGAGAGAGGCATGTTCATTATATGTAGCCATGTAATTTTATTAGAACTCACAAGGGGCATTGAAATGTTTTTCTTTTTCAGATGGTCTGGGGCTGTTTGCTTACTTTAAGTAAGCCAGGTCTACCATTTGAAAAATGGTGCTTTATTTCCATATCTGAAGTCTTATATTTTAGTTTGTTTTCATCTAGAAGTGGATAGATTTTTGCTTCTGTCTTATATTTTAGTTTGTTTTCATCTAGAAGTAGATAGATTTTTGCTTCTGTGTTAAGAGCCTCTTTGTTTGGAGAAGATGGTTGGTTCTCTCCTTGACTCATTAACAAACCTTTGAGTGCTTGTTATTTACAAAGATGAATAAAATCTTTAATTTATTATTTATGATACTTGTCTGAGCCCATTTTTTAATTTTTTATCCAGAACAGTTTATATTGAGAAGGAATGATGATATGTATCAGTTGTCCTGAGAAGTTTTCTTTGTATCCTGGAAACTGTAAGGAAGAATTATTTTTATTAAACACAGAATGTCTAGGGGGAAAGTAAGAGGTAAAAGAACACACTTAGTGTGGACATTTTGTATGTGATACAGTGTTGAGGTTGGATAGGTAGATAAGCCAGAAGAAACTGGTTTAGAGTAAGCATAATAAGACTAGAGCTTGCAACCAAATCCTTGCTTTTCTATCATTTATTAGTTATATGGCTTGGAAGAAGTTACTGCTCCAATGGTAGTCATAAGTTTCCTAGGTTTGTGAGAAACAAGTTAATATATGAGAAGAATTTGGCCTGGCACTTTGTAAGTGCTCAATATTTTCTGTACGTTAACTTGAAAAATCTAACACACTATACATTTGGGCTAACCTTGTCAGGCCATGGGAAATCGTGGGAGCAGGCAGTTATTGAAAACCAAAAAATTTTATTTTGCAAATACATGTGAATGCCCACAGTGTGCCTGGATATTATCCTTTGCACATAGGAGAGAAGAAATACATCTGAGTAGGGACTTCGGAACTAAGGATTTAAGAAGCCAGCCTTGGCACAAAGTCTCATTGGTTAACAGTATTTCAGGCAGTAGATGTGCAGAAAGCATAACATCTTGAACAAAAAATGAGGCCTGAATGGTGTATGGGATCGGTGTGTGTTTATGTAAGGCGAGTGGGGATTGTAGAGAGAGAGGGCAAGTCACACAATGGACCATGCATGGTTTGAGTGTCATTCTAATGAAGCCTGAAGAACTTGGAGCTGGTGAGTAATACGTGGTTTCTGATTAACAGGTTATCCTAAGTTGTTTGGCAGTGGGGCAGGGTGGGATGGTGGGCAGTATGAGAATCAATTAGGCAAGAAGAACCTGGCCCCAGACATCTCGAGAGTAACCGATGTAGTAACTTACTGTGACTGGACAATCATTGAAGAAGTTAGAAGATGCTAACCCTCTTGAATGTGAGAAACAGGGAAAGGCAAAAAGCAAGAAAAGTGATGCCGGGTGCAGTGGCTCATGCCTGTAAACCCAGCAACTGAGGCTGAGGTGGGAGATTGCTTCAGGCCAGGAATTAAAAGCTACAGTGAACCTTGATGGTGCCACTGCACTCCATCCAGCCTGGGCAACAGTGAGACCCCCAACTCAAGGGAAAGATTGGAAATACAGTGAGTTAGGGTTTTTTTTTTTTTTTTTGACATTGTTGAGTCTCCACCTAATCTATAAGACTTATTTAGGAAATGTTTGTTGGAGATCTAGTAAGACCCTGAGAGGCAAAAATAAGTCTCTTCAAGAGTCTTAAGAAGGATAAATTGGTAACAAAGTGAAAATGCCCTCGAAGTAAAATTTGGAGAAAGCATATTTCATCTGTGTGATCTCAGGAATGGTGATGAAGTAGGTCTTGGATTGTTCGGATTTGGACAAATTGAGAAAAAGGGGAAATCCATGTGAAGGAAAGTTGTAAATAAGTGTAAAGGTCCTTGAATACCAGATAAGGGATACACATTTCCTCTAAAAGTTGGGGTGTTGGGATTCTTCGCATAAAATAACATTGACTAGAGCAGTGGCTGTGGTTTTGGACCTTATGTCTCTTCAGAAACACCCAGTGTATCACCAGAGGCTGCCACTAATTCCTGGCACTACCAGGATATTTCTGTGTCACTACCATCTGGGTGACCGAATAATAAAATTTAGAAACTGTAACTGGGCCTGACAGCTATTCACTTGGTGGATTGAAACTATCTCTTAGGTTCACGAAGGCCACCTTAAAACGTTTGAAAGCCTTGTAGACCTGAGGCCATTATTTTTCCTTGGTCACTTTCTAAACTCCTGTTTCTCGCAATTGTAGGACATTGCTATTCTGTTCAAAAACCTTCATAGTCACCACATAACTTGTATTTTGTAGTAACTGAACACTCCTCTGAATTCTTCATGGAACTTTTCTGAAAGCTGATTCTCCACAGAGGGTATAGTTTCTAACAGTTGTATGAATTGAGTGTGTTACTCATTCTGGATTATTTGTACGTGGAGTTAGGACCAGTAAGCTCATTACCTAAGACAAATTGGGCAATTACTATTTTTGAGACAGTGTCTTGGGCTGTCCCTTAGGTTGGAGTGCAGTGGTGCAATATCTCAGCTCACTACAACCTCCGCCTCTCATCGAGTGATTCTACTGCCTCAGCCTCTGGAGTAGCTGGGGTTACAGGCATCTGCCATCACATCCAGCTCTTTGATATTTTTAGTAGAGACAGGGATTTTGGCCAGGCTGGTCTTGAACTCCTTGATCTCAGGTGATCTGGCCTCACAATGGGTGATTATTTACAAATAAACAAACATAACCCTATTTGCCTTCCTGACCCCGCCTCACTGCTTTACCGATTACTGAAAGTTCCCCTTCATTGAAATTTTAGAATCATCTAGTAGGTGTTCAGTGAATGTTTTGAGTGAATGAATTATTTCTCTGAAGAATAGTGATAGTGCTGTACTAGAGTCGATCACAATCCTGCAAATTAGAGTCTACCAGTGTATAGTCATACATTGTGGGTATATTTATAACCATGTACTAATGAAAGTGTGCAGTGTATAATCATTTATTTCAATATTTGCTAGGCTTATGATGCTGTGAAGCAATTAATAGTCACCATTTTCACTTATCCACTGGCCATTCCACATCTCTGCTTTTCCAATTCATCCCTTGATTTGATAAACATATTTGATGGGTTTTTTTTGTTTTTTTTTTTTTTTTGTGTGTGTTCTTTTATTTATTTATTTGAGATGGGGTTTCACCATGGTTGGTCAGGCTGGTCTTGAACTCCCGACCTCAGGAGATCCGCCCGCCTCAGCCTCCCAGAGTGCTAGGATTACATGCGTGAGCCACCGCGCCTGGCCCCTTGATGGTTTTTCATATTCACAAAGATGGTAAAAGCCAAGGACCTGAACTTGTAGATACCTACCATATCTATAAAATCTGTATTTGTATCCTTTTTGTCACATTGGACTAGGTATCCATTTACAGCTTTCCTCTTTTACTATGCTCTGGAATCCCATCAACTTCTGCATCTTAGTGATGATCTCTGTCCCCTTTTGTGTTTCTTCAGCTTCCTATCCTGCTTCTCATTCTTTTAATGACTCCTTTTTCCCAGGATACAATTTGGATTATAAGTGACATAAGACATAGGAGTCAAGAGTGAGGCTCAGGTTTTACCTCTAAAAACTCTTGGCTCAAAGACCTTTCACAATCTGGCTCCTGCTTATCTTTGCAACATAATTTATTGCCATTCTCCCTTGGTACTTGGCTTAAGGTCTCAACACCTCTCTACACCTTAGTACTTTGACTTGGGTAATTTTCACTTCCTCAGATCTGCCAAATTCTAGTTCAGAGTTAATTCCCTCTTATAAATCCCTGAGCCTCTGTGATGACTTTCGGATGTGCTTTCGTTGCAGTATGTACTTACCGTCAATGTTGCGTGTTTATTTTGGACTGCAGCCTCGAAGGCAGGACTGTGTCTTGTTCATTGCAATCCTAAAACCTAGCACACTGCACGACACTTAAAAAGAGGTACTTAAGGCCTGGCGTGGTGGCTCACCCTTGTAATCCCAGCACTTTTGGAGGCCGAGGCAGGTGGATCAAGAGGTCAGAAGTTGGAGACCAGCCTGGCCAACGTGGTGGAACTCCATCTCTTAAAAATACAAAAGTTAGCCAGGTGTGATGGCGGGTGCCTATAATCCCAGCTACTCAGGAGGCTGAGGTGGGAGAATGGCTTGAACCTGGGAGTCAGAGGTTGCAGTAAGCTGAGATTGAGCCGTTGCACTTCAGCCTGGGCAACAAGAGTGAAACTCCATCTCAAAAAAAAATTGTAATATTAAGTAATATACTAAGGCCCTTAATAATTACTGGGTTAAACTGGGTTGCACGAAATAGGTTAATTTGTTTCATTAAAACAGACTAGAGGTTTAGAGAGATGTGCCTTTATTTGAATTTAAACCTATCGTGCTGTCCTTTTGAGCAGGATCTTTAGGACAGGCATTTAGTGATTGGCTAAAGAATAACCCCTGACAGTAGCAAAGGTCTCTTGGACACAGAGCTGTTGCGACAACACAGTGAAATCTGTGTTTGTTGAAGATTAGAAGGAATTTTGAAAAGGAACTCTTCCTGTGGCTTGTCTGCCAGAATAAAAGGTTTTCATTTTATTTATGGTGAAAGAATAGTTTTGATTTGGAATACAGGTAGGCTAGACCAATGATTGCAAACTGAAACACCTACTGGAACCAGATAGGCAATAGAAACGAGTAAAACAAGCCAATTGGGAGTGGGGAACTCATGACCCTTACAAATGAGGCTTATGCTGTGTGCATTGCTTGGCCACGGTTGCCAGCTTTCAGTTTTTTCTAGAGAATTTAGATCTCATAGGTAAAGAGAATTAGAACTAAGCGCTATGGCTAACCACACCTGCAGGACAGTTTTCTTGTAAATCACCAGTATGGGATTTCTTTGATGAAAGCTGGCTGGGCGCTGTGGCTCATGCCTGTAATCCCAGTACTTTGGGAGGCCGAGGCGGGTGGATCACAAGGTCAAGAGATCGAGACCATCCTGGTCAACATGGTGAAACCCCGTCTCTACTAAAAATACAAAAATTAGCTGGGCATGGTGGTGTGTGCCTGTAATCACAGCTACTCGGGAGGGTGAGGCAGGAGAATTGCTTGAACCCAGAAGGCGGAGGTTGCGGTGAGCCGAGATCGTGCCATTGCACTCCAGTCTGGGTAACAACAGCGAAACTCTGTCTCAAAAAAAAAAAAGAAAGCTGATGTTTGTGGAAATTTATATCAACAGGAGGAAAGCCAGTTAATCACAGAGAGTAAGGTATAATGATGGACAAGAGGTAGATGATGGAATATGACGTTGGGTAAT